CACCTTCGACGCGAACAAATCGTATCTGCTCGTGGGTTGCCTGGGTGGTTTGGGTCGGAGCCTCAGTCGGTGGATGTTCGAGCGCGGCGCTCGTCACTTCACATTTTTGGGTCGGTCTGGATGTGATAAGCCGGCCGCACGCGATCTCGTTGCTGGCCTGGAGGCAGCCGGGGCGACTGTTCAAGTCGTGCGCGGTGATATCATCAACGCTGAGGACGTGCAAGCTGCGGTTGAGGCGTGCATCCGACCCATCGGGGGAGTCATTCAGGCGGCGATGGGGCTGAGCGAGGCGCTCTTTTCGACCATGACCCCCAAGGCCTGGCACACGGGCATCCAGCCCAAATGGCAGGGAACCTGGAACCTCCATCATGCTCTAGAGGCCCACGGCGACGCTGCGCTAGACTTCTTCCTTCTCACCTCATCCGTGTCGGGTAGTGTCGGCACCGCCACCGAGTCCAACTATTGCTCTGCCAATGGCTTCCTGGATGCCTTCGCCCGCTACAGGCGCGGCCTCGGCAAGCCCATCGTCTCCGTTGGCCTAGGCATGATTTCCGAGGTTGGTTATTTGCATGAGAACCCAGAGATCGAGGCCCTCTTGTTGCGCAAGGGCATTCAGCCCCTCAATGAAGCCGAGCTCATCCAGGTCATCGATCTAGCCCTAGCCCACACAGCAACCACCGGGCTAACCTCGAAGGCTCCGGGTCTGGACTACGACCCCTTGGCGGCTTCCCACATTCTCACTGGCCTTGAACCGCACGGAATTCGTCAATTGCTCGACCGCGGTTTCGATGTCAACAACGGGACGATGCAGGATCCCCGCGCTGTACTTCTCTCTGCCTCCCTGGATGCCCCCTCCGCCTCGACCTCCGCCAATGCAGCCTCTATCAGCACCGTCTCAGTTTCTGCCCTCCCTTGGGCTGCTGGCATTCCTGCGGGGGTCCTCAAGACCATGGCGACCACTCCCGAGGTTGCCACTGCGGCGACTTTGAATGCCGCCATTCTCCTCCTGGTCCGCAAACGTTTTTCCAATCTGCTGCTGATGGATCTGGATAAGATCGTCTCGGAAAAACCCATCACTTCATATGGAATGGACAGCATGATCGCCTCCGAGTTCCGCTCCTGGTTCTACAGTGTTTTCAAGGTAGATATTCCGTTCCTGGAGGTACTGAATGATACCTCCTCCTTGCAGAGCTTGTCCAACGCGGTGGAGAGCAAGCTGGTGGTTTGATTGGGATGTGTCTGTGTTTCTGTTCGTCATTCTGTAAGTCCGTAGCTGTGAGAATGTCAGATAAGATATAAAGTTGCTTGAAATATCTTCACTCGTCCACCACCCTGTAGCGAGACCACTGCCGACTAGGTGTTCGTCTTCAACTAAAAAGCTCGTTAGTCCGTATCTAGTACCATGGGCTTGGGAGACCAAATGTGCGGCTGGGAGACCAACGGTCGGTCGAGACAGCTTCATCGGCCACTGACAAGCTATCCCCAGCGAGAGCATGAGCATACTTGATGAAATCGAGAGCATCACAGTTGAACATACGGAGGTGATGGACTAAAGATCTTTGATCTCATGACTTGCTTGGTTCCATGTTACATTTGTAAAGGACCTGTAATGTATACCCCATGTACCTTCACATCATCCTCAGTCAGTCTACTATGTATATGTTGGGTGACATGGAGTTACCTGGCCCGGCCCTACTTATCAGTGCCTCGAAAAATCCTAGGGCACACCTACGTATTACGGCTCATGCCCATTTTATGAACATGCCCAGTCTTAACATACTTAGCTTGGAATTGGGCAAGATCCGACTTCGACAGAATTGCCAAAATGGACCAGGAAAGCCCACATGCGCTATGAGCAAGATGAAGGTTGGAAATAAAGTGCACACTCAAGCACCAGCTTTTGGCCCTGCGTAGAAAGTGTCGCGTATGCTGTTACCACTGCTTATCAGTAGTCGTCCAGAAATTGATCCAACTCTTTTTAGGGCTTCCCAGGATGACCGCCGTAAGTTGTGGGCCAAGTGGGGTTTCTGACCATCAGCCTGTGGCCATGCATGCAAGTTGTGTCAGAAATGACCAAATAAAAGCACTCGAGCTGATCTCCATCCGCAGTAAGTGGTTTTGCTTGCTGCACACACGCCCATCATGTACACTTACAGTGTCATTGCTCTCACACTGATGAGCTATGTCCTCTGTCAAGGCATTTACAATCGCTACTTCCATCCACTCCGCGCATTTCCCGGTCCTTTCTGGGCCTCGGTGTCCGACTTCTTCAAGCTCTGGATTCTGCACACCAAGCAGGCCCACACTCTGGGTCTGGAATACCATAAAAAGTATGGGAGCATTGTACGCGCTGCCCCGAACCTCTTGGCAGTTGATGATCCGACGCTCCTACCGCTCATCTACCATCGGCGAGTGGACAAGACCGATGTCTACACCGTAGGCGTGCTCGGTGAAATTGCTCCACCTTTCCAAACCCTCAAACACGAGGAGCATGCCATCAAGCGCAAGAGGGTTGCCGCCTCGTTCACCTTAACCAACCTGAAGCACCTCGAAGGGCAGGTCGATGAGCGCATCGCGCAGTGGACTCATATCTTGACCCAGCGATTTGTGGAGACAGGCGAAGAACTGGATTTTGCCGCCTGGTCCCAGTAGGTTTCATGCCTATCACATCCCGATCAATTACTCATCTCTCTCTCTGTGTGTAACAGATGGTTTGCGTATGACATGATTTGCCAACTCTCCTTTGGCGAGCCGATCGGATTCGTTAGCCAGGGGCGCGACGTGGAGAACTTGATCGCGAACTTCCATCAGATGGCCCCGTTTGCCGCGGTTGTGGGAGCATTGCCCTGGCTCGCACGCCCATTTCTGGAGAACCCCATCACAAGAAAGTTTTTCATGCCCAAGCCGGGTGATGGGTCGGGGACTGGGAAAATCATGGCCGTACGTAGAGCACACCTTTGATGGAACCATCATGAAGGCTCACCCATCCGGTGTCTCTAGTTTCGTGATCGGCTGCTGGCAGATCGACTGAATAACCCTCAGGCTCACAAGCAAGGGGACTTCCTGGACAATATTCTGAGCGCAACCAACCCGGACGGGACCCCAATCACGCTCGAGGAGGTCAAGACTGAGTGTTTCGTGCTCATGGTCGCAGCCTCAGACACCACCGCCGCTTTCTTCTGTGGCTTTGTGCGTTATGTCCTTGAGACGCCTGGCGTATACGAGCGACTGGTGGCGGAGATCGACGAGTACGACCAGCGCGGCGACCTCACCTCCCCGGTGCCACGATACGACGAGATCAAAGATATGCCCTACTTCACAGCCTGCTACAAGGAGACCATGCGCTATCAGCCGTCGACCCCAATGATCATTCCGCGCTACGTGTCTCCCGGGGGTCTCACGCTGCACAATCAGCATATCCCCGCCGGGACGGAGATTGGAGCCAACCCGTATGTGGTGCACCGGAATCGCCGCGTCTTTGGGGAGGATGCTGATGTCTTCCGTCCGGACCGCTGGCTGGTGGCCGATCCGGACCATATCGCCCTGATGGACAAGTGTATTCTGACCTGGGGATACGGGACGCGCATCTGCCTGGGAAAGAACATCGCCCTACTGGAGACGTATAAGTTGCTTGTTCAGGTATTTGCATCTCCTTGTGTTTCTTTCGCCTCGTAGTGGGGTTCTCGTCCGACTTTTTCAGCTTAACAGGACTAATCATGGCTCCCTCCTTGGCAATCTAGTTCTTCCGCCTGTTCAGGCCCAAGATCAATAATGGGGCACGACCCATCTGGGAGCAGGAAAACCTGGCTTTGTTGGTTCATCACAATTTCTGGATCAAGATTGCGAGCAGAAAGCATTAGCTTTAGTAGATGATGACACTATTTCCCAGTGAGGGGTTGCGCGAGTCAATGCCTAAGGCAGTCGCTGGTGGGTAATTGAGGGCTGTCCTGGGCATTCACCGCCTGCCATTCCAGGCTCTTCCGATCGGTCTGCCGGATTCCGCAAACGGACATCCGCCCCTCTCCCTTCTCCGCTGTGTTGTGTGACCAACATCCATGATCTGCGTTGTCATTGAAAGTACAGGATGGCTTCTGAAGCCGCAGTGACTCTTTCCTAACAATATCAGTATATTTTTTCGTACTCAGAATAGCTTTCCTCCCGCTTATAAGCTTTCCTTAACGCTTGCCAATTTTTGTGTCATCCTAGCATTTTATGACCATGGGACCGTCCCGAAATATATGCTGGACCGTGCATATAACAATCCCTAATCTTTTGCTGTGCAGTCCTGCATATCTCCGTCAGTCCCAGGTCCTAGCATCCTTAGAACAGAAATGACCTGAATATAGACCAGCCAATTCTCATGTAAACTGACTCCCCACGTGGTTGCTTGCCGCCTGCTAATCTAGGTAGGGTGAGGTAGATACTGCCTGCCAGATTCACGCTTCCGGTAGGCGGTCTTGTTGGCCTTGGGGAGGTGTTACATTGCAAAGCCCGCAGTCACGTGGTGTCTTCAGAGCAAGGAAGAGGTCTTCAATGCTGAACGAGTAAGCGGCATGTGAGTCGAATGGTCTGACTGTCAGACAGACTGTCTCCGTGTAAATGTCAAATGGAACGGCACCTTCGGTTCCATCTCGGTTCCACCTCGATTCCATCGGGGAACTGCTTAAATCCGAGCCAGCCAATCATCGTCGGGAACGGCACCGTCGGTTTGGGACTCGGCCTCCACCGACTCATGCAGGAGACCAGGAGATAACCTAGTACCGTGGACACCACGGAGTGGCATACTACCATACCGTGGACTCGTTATCCATGACCTATCCCATGCACATGTCACCAGAAGACCCGAGACCGACTCTTTGTTTGCACCGGGCTGGGGTGGGCAGAGGAGCTATATAATGGGTGAACTGCACACACCTACCTGCTGTTCCTCTGTCACGGTACCGTTCACGTCTTGAACATACTTCTCCCCCCCTTAAGATTCCATCCTCAGTCGGTTCACCATGGTGTTCTACAATACTTATCCTGGCTTCCTGTATCGCCAGTTCCTAGTCTGCCCCTCCAAGGCTCCGTCTTCTACCTCCCTTCGCGGCAAAGCGGGCATTGTCACCGGCTCCAACACTGGGCTGGGCTATCAGGCTTCGGCGCAGTTGCTGGGCCTGGGGCTATCGCATCTGATCCTAGCGGTCCGCAGCAGTTCCAAGGGCGAAGCGGCCCGGAAATCCCTCCTCGCATCGCTGCCGGCTTCGGCCAAAGCTCCCGTGGTCGAGGTGTGGGAACTGGATCTCGGTAGCTATGCCAGTGTGCTCTCCTTTGTCGAGCGCCTCAAACAGTCCGGGCTGCACGTCGACTTTGCCCTTCTGAACGCGGGAGTGGCCAACTTCCACTTCACGGTCAACCAGGCCACCTCCCACGAGACGAGTATTCAGGTCAATTGGCTCAGTACTGCGCTGTTGACCTTGCTTCTGCTTCCGGTCCTCGATGGCCAGGCCGCCCAGAATCTGAATCGCCCTCGTCCGGTCATCTCAATTGTGGGCAGCGAAACCGCCGCCTGGGCCAAATTCAAGGAGGCCCAGATCGCACAGAGTCAGCGACGGCCTCTGATCCAGGTTCTCGATGATCCCAAGCACTTCAACATGGGCGATCGCTACTATACCTCGAAGCTGCTCTACCAGCTCTTCTTTCTGGAGCTGTTCCAGCATCGATCCCCCGGCAAACGCTCCACGGGGGCCATTCTCAACCTGGTGAACCCCGGCTTTTGCTATGGTTCGGAACTCCATCGCACGGCGGAAGGCGCCTTCGGCAAAGTTCTGGGGGGGATGAAGAGGGTGATCGGTCGATCGGTGTCAATGGGAGCCCGTACTCTGGTTCACTCTGCGGTGCTGGCTGGAGAGCCCTCCAATGGCCGGTACATGAGTGACAACAAGCCTGCTCCTTTTGCGGGCTACGGGGATAGTGACGCCGGGAGAATCACTCAGGATCAGGTCTGGGATGAGACGATCTCCGAGCTGAAGCAAGTTGTGGATGTGAATGAGCTATTGTCGCATATGTGATTCGATTATCTGTGAATTTCCTGCTCCTGCTTGCCCGTGCTTGGTTGATTTTTTTTTCTTCTTTCTTGTTTTGTTTTATTTCCTCTACCTGAGTGTCTGCTGCCGATAATGCCAGGTGAAAGCTGCTTGATGTTAGTGTTGTAGTATGGAGTGATTTGAGGATGAACAAGTATAGTACTGTGGTAAAGTTGAAGAACTTCACTGGGAGAACCAGTCGGGGGGCTGACTCATCCTCATCCCCGTATTTAACGAACCCAGATTACCGTACATTACCGTAGATTCCCGTGGTTAACGTATGCTCTCTCCTCTCCTCTCCCCTCCTCTCCTCTTTCCCATGGATCTCGCTCAAACCTCCCCCTCAACTCCAACCCCATTCTTTAGCTGTCAACTTTTCCACTGCGGTCCTCATTGTCAATCACCCCCATGATGGGCGCAAAAGTCGAGTCCCCAGAAGCGCCGACCACTCCTTCTCAACTCCTGAATTATTTGCCCACCTACCGGGTGCTGGTCTGTTTAAGATGCCGCTACGCCATTCAGCCCGGGGCCATTGCGCGTCATCTCAAGGAGATCCATTATCTTCCTCGTGCAACGCGGCGGACCTTTGTCGCCTGGGCTTCGGAGTTCGAGTTGGCCCAGCCGCAGGATGTAGTCTTGCCAGATGAAAGCCAGTTTCCGGTCCCCTTCCTTTCCATCCAGGAAGGGCTTGCGTGCCGCTTTGAGCGCTGTGGCTATCTTTGCGCCACCAGCAAACGCATGAAGCAACACTGGCGATGCACCCACCAAATTCCCACCTCGGATGAGAGCACACTCTCGACCCCAGTCCCCTTACAGACCTTTTTCCGGGGAAATGCCCTCAGATACTTCACCAATCCGTCCTTGTTAGTGGTCTCCTCAGCTTCTCCCTCGGAATATAGCGTCGACGAGGTCAGCCATGATGGTCGATCGAGTACGGTCGGTTTCCAACCATTCCATTCCTTTCATCTTCAGTCTTGTCCATGGACGCTGATTTCCACTTTCTTCGCCTGTAGACCGGTACTACTCCGGCGACCAGTACAACATACCTGGAAAGTCGGCTCCTACCATTGGACCAGTGTTCCTCGGTGCTCGTAACCAACCAAGGTCTTCTCGACCATTATCGCCATTCGACCTACAAATCCCTCTCAAATAGCCCCGAGACCGACCGAGCATTTGGCGAGGTCGTTCTGGGCCTGACCTCCCGATTTGACTTCTTGAGGCAGGGGGTCATGGCGTGTGCGGCCTTGCACCTGGCCTCCATCGACCCGGCTAATCGCACGTATTATGTCTTCCAATCCCTCCGGCACCAAGACCAAGCCATTCCCGCCTTTCGTCAGGCCATCCTGCACGTCGATCGCGACAACTGCGAGGCAGTCCTGGCCTTTGCGTTTTTCCTCGTCATCTGTTCCCTCAACTCCGACACCGAAGACCCGCGCCTGTTCCTGAGCGACGACCCCGACCAACATCTGCACTGGATCAACATCCTCCGCAATGGCTGCTCCATGCTCTGCCCGTTTTGGGACGAGCTCACCGCGGGGCCCCTCGCGCCCTTCGCCGCCCTGTGGGAGGATGACCTCGGCGTTGGCGGTCCGCCCGCCGATACTCCCGAAGACCCGCTGCTGGGGGCCTTGCTCGCCATGGTGGTCGCGGAGAACCCTGCCCGCGAGCTTGCGGAGGAGCACGACGCCTACCGGGCCGCCGCGGACCAGCTTGCCGCCGCCGGGGCTTTTCTCCAGCGCCGGGGCCCCGCCGCCTCCGTCTGGGATGCGCTTAACGCGTGGCCGATGCGCGTGGCTCCCGCCTACCTGACGCTACTGAAGCAGGATCGCCCCGGCGCACTCCTGCTCTTGGCATACTACGCGATTCTGCTGCGCCCCACTCGCGGCGAATGGTTCCTCGCGGGGCGGGTGGAGAGGCTCATCGACGAAATTGCCCGTCGCTTGGAAGGCACGTCCTGCTCCGCCCAATTATGGGAGTTGTTTCTGGCGATCCGGAGGGAATACTTCCCGGAGGAAGCGCTGAGGTGCCAGTAGGATGACCCACGGTAGTGACGATATAACGAACTATGAACTGTAAGGTAATATTCCACCATGCATCTCCCACCATGTAGATGGTCGGGGACGGGGTTCCGCGACTTCCATCGTGTCCACTATAGCTGACGTGATATTTGTAAGCTGATAAGCTCTTGGGAAGGACAGTCAGAGTACAAGGTATGAGTTGGTGCACGAGACGCACGCGGCACCTGCGGCATATAGAGCACCTCGCCAATCAGATGCAAGGTGAGAATGCCAGTCCAACAGCCCCAAAATGTGCCTACTGGGTAGAATCCGAGTCCTTAGTGCTGACAGTTCTGAGGAATTTTTCCGTCCGAGCTTTCTGCAGGCCATCAGTGCTTAGTCGATGTCAGCACGTGCGGGGTATTGCAGGTTCATCTCCAATCAAATGACTTGCTGGTGAAGAATGAACCAGTAGCTCCTTCTGCAGTATAAAGGCTTCCCGTTGGGATTGGGTGACCCAGCTTGAAGGAATTGAGGATTGCATGAGACATCCTGAGCTCTATGCTGGTCCTTTTCGGCTCGTCCGACCATAATGCCCCTTCTTGCTGTCTCGCTATCTCGCTCAGTCAATCACGATCTGACTCAACCGCACCTAATGGAATTCGTCGAGTGAAGATTTCAGGTGATTTTTCGATACTGTGGTAGGTCCGGTCTAGATCTAAGGCCGCCAACGACGCGGACGCGGACCATTTGGCAAACGCCGAGGAGCATGGCCAGCATTGTCACTGGGTGCTATGACTACTGGTGAGGCTCATCAGCTTACAGTGCCTATCGGGTCCAGCAACATGTCTGCAAGTAGCGCTCCTTCTCGCTTGCACTAGCTGGTTCAGAGAACAAATATGTGATTGCTCTAGTGGAACGGCAGCAAGGGTTCGGCAAACGGGCTGGGGCCATATGTCTTTGGTTCTCCTCATGATGCGGCTTTATATATAGATACGATGTACAATTTTTTAACTCGACGGCATGGTGCTTGCAATCCGATATTCACTCTGGAGGTTCGTCATATCCCTGATCATTGTGCCTGTCTGCCTATCCATCCTTGCCCTATTGTTCCATAGCTGTAGCTTCCATGGCCTCGACATCGCCAGTGGAGGAGATGATTGACCAGGAGGACTGGAGTCACATCTCGGAACCGGCCTTGCGCAAACGCATCCAGAACCGCAATTCCCAACGCAAGCTACGTAAGTCTCTTCTGCTTCAGACTTAGCCCGGTTGCGATACACGGACTAAACTTCCATGCAATGCTAGGCGCAAAGCGCAAAATGCAGAACCAGCCCATCTCCTTTGACATCATGACATCCACGTCAGGTTTAGAGATAGACCTGGACAATTCGGGGGCGCCTGTGGCAGATGACTTCCTCTTCGACGGGCTCATTGACCCCCTCAACCCGCTGTCTCCCTCACTAGATCTCGATTTGATGACATCGCCACCGCTCGATGTCCACAGCTCTTCCACCCTCGACTTCAGTGCGCTAGATACCCCCTCCTGGACTGAAGCTCCCAATCCCGAATACTTGGCTGTTGGGACGGGAGGGATTGACGAAGGGGCCTTGATACTAGACCCTGCTCTGGTCTCCGATGTCTCCACTCCTGGCCCCGGGGTAGACACGAGGACTGTGGGAGCCTCCACTCAATCCAGCAATGACATCCACATCTATATTCACCATGACTGTCCAAGCCCCCTGCTTCCCAATACCGCCAATCAGCAGCCGCTGCCGTCGTCGCTGGGGCCGTCCGCGGCCCGTCGATCCCGCTGGGGCACCCGCATTTTTCACCTCCACAGTAACAACACAAACAACAACACCAACAACGCAGGCAGAGGTGAGAGCAGATGTGAGAGCAGCTGTTCGGCCGCCCGGAAAAAACGCCGGGCCGCCCCGGCCCCACCACCGCCGCCACCGACAGCCCATTTCCCGGGCACATGCCACAATTGCGGATCCCTGACGGGGCCGGGGCAGCCCGACTCGCCGTATCCCAGCAGCCACAGCCACATCGCTCAGGTGGCTCGGATTTTGTCCCACTCCCATCCAGCTCTGGCCGAAATGCTCATGCAGCCCAATGCTCACATTGAATATGGCTATCCTGGCTTTTCATCATCATCATCATCATCATCATCATCTTCTTCTTCTTCTTCTTCTTCTTTCTCTGCGATCACACCCCCCGCTGATGAGATGCAGAAAGGAAGAGACGCAGAGGCAGAGGCGGAGGCGGAGGCGTCGGAGGCGTCGGATGTCCGACCACTCCATATTGTCATCAATCTCCCCCCCAGTCCTGCCGCCTATTCCGATTGATTAGTTGGTACTGTACTGTACCTATTTTTCTCTGCTCATGTCTTGCTTCATCTACTGATGCTACGATTGATGCCCACCTTTGCATTCCTCTTCGTGCTATTTAGAGTATATATTGGTACTTCACAAATTTAGATTGAGTGTCATTCCTTCTGTCTCCCCGCAAATGGAGAGCCCTTAGAACCTGAGCGATGATTACTCTTGGGCCTTGTCAGACCTAGTCCGTATTTTGTGCTTATATCAGCCCCAGATCTACTTTCTGACTCTGACTGCAGGTAGGCTCAGCTTGCAAGCTGACCGCGCCGAGCAATGCACCGGCGTGTACCCCCAGTGCCAATCAGCAACAAGGTTGGCACCAGATATATTGATCCGCTGAGAGGCCATGGTGTGCCATGAAAGCACGGAAACAACTCTGCCCTACCGAGTACAGCATGGACATTACGGGATACGCTTTGGTAACCGGGGCCGGCAGTGGCATTGGGCGAGCCTGCGCCTTGGCCTTTGCCCGCGAAGGCGCCGCTGGGGTGGCCTTTACCGACCTGAATCTTGAGGCTGCCCAGCAGGCCGCCGAAGAAAGTAGGGCTCTCGCCACTCACCCCACCTACCAAGCTGTGGTCATGCCCCTCGATGTGACCAGCGAAACACAGGTGGAAGCGGTAGTGACCCAGACCCAGCAATCCTTCGGGACCATTGACTACTTGGTCAACTCAGCCGGCGTATGTGCTCCCATGATCTTTCTCCTATCTTAGCTCTCACTACCGGGTATCCCTTGACCAGACACGAGTCCCAATGCTCATCCCACATATATATATATAGATTGGCGTCCAAGTGGCGGCGGAGATTGCGGAAGCCTCCCTGACAGAATTCATTCGCTTCCTCGACGTCAACGTCACGGGCTCCTTTCTTCTCACCAAGTATGTCTCGCGCACGATGAAGCAGCAGGAAGCGCGCCTCGTCTGCGCTCGCAATGTCCAGCGCGGTTTCACGCGCGGAGTGATTCTCAACATGGCATCCTGTGCCTCCTTTGTCGCGACCCCCGCTTTAACGCAATACACCACGTCCAAGCATGCGGTGCTAGGACTGACCCGGAATGCTGGTAAGTCATCATATAAAGAGGGTTAGGTGCGTCAAAGTTGAGCTCGAGACGACGAAGCTGACCAACACGTCTTATCGGTCCCCCCAGCCCTAGATAACGCCAAATACGGGATTCGCGTGAACTGCCTCTGTCCGTCGTGGGTCGACACCCCGATGGTCGATCGTGCCGTGAAAGACAATCCCGACCTCGGGGCGTTGATCGCCCAGTCTGTGCCCATGGGGCGGATTGCACAGGTGGACGAGATCACCGACCTGATTCTGTTCCTATGCAGCCCGCGGGCCAGTTATGTCACGGGGAGCAGCTGGATTGTTGATGGCGGAACTACCCTCTGTAGCCATGTTTGATTTCTGACATCAGGAGAAAGGGTGCGCAGACACTGAGCTCTTTCATGTGTGCTTACACGATACGATTGATGCTGGGGTTGTCAGATAGGGCTTCTGACAATGTCAGATAGAGGGGTCAGACATCAGTATCTGTCAGATGCGTCAAGTAGTATCTAGTCACAACGCAACGGTTCTTTGATAAATATCTAGAGAAATGTCCCCTCGTCTTCATATCAGTAGCACATTGAGCTTTAACTTCCATTCTACTGACAACAACGGTCAATCCCCCTCCACAATGACGACCACTGCCGCTGTTAACTTCATTTCCACCAATGGGTTTCCCGCTCCTGGTCTGCGCGCCACGCAGCGACTGATTACCGGCCACAGCGAGGAGGACGGCAAAGGCCACTTCCTTGTCACCGATCGTGGCGACCACCACCGCATTATGGGTGAGAACCAAGCCGTAGCCAACATCCTGTACTCAACCCAGGAGAACCCAGTGGATCTCAACGACAGCAAAGATATCCAGTATGCTCGCGAGAATGAGGTTCGTTCTTTTTTCATTCATCTTCCTCTTGCAGTTCCTCACCCTCTTCCTTTCCCCTGAACTCTTGATAACGCTTCCCACAGCCAGGTCTCCACATCCCCAACGGCACAGTGGCTCGGATGATCGATTTCGGCCCAGGCGTCGAATCTCCAATGCACCGCGCCCTGTCCATTGACTACGGGATCGTGCTCGAGGGAGAGTTCGAGCTCACCCTGGACTCCGGTGAGACGCGGATCATGAAGCGCGGGGATGTGAGCGTCCAGCGGGCGACCGCCCACAAGTGGAAGAATATCACGGGTGGGGAGACGGAGCCCGGCCGGATGCTCTACATCCTCCTGGACTGCAAGGAGGTGAGGGTCCAGGGCAAGCCATTGGAGGGATTTCTGGGCGAATTGGAGAAGGAATACGAAGGACGGAGTGCGTAAAGGGGTTGGTTTTGACCAGGATCAATGATTTGGATTGTTTCGTGCATGCTAGCTGCATACTGTTGCCAAAGCAGTAGGGTTCAAGATATGCCTGGTATTTCAGCTATCTCGGTGCCGGTTAAAATGACAAGGAATACAATCACGCCCTGGATCTAGCACAGTGCTCAAGCGTAACAATTGTATGGGTGGTAGTAACCATTTCAAGGTTATCTCACACAACCGAGGAAAGCCTTCTCCTTATGTTCCTGTTAAATATGACCTGGGACACTGTGCCAGAAGATCCGCGGAGAAATCAACTCAAGCATAATGGCAACCGAGTACTTTGTATGCAGACTAGTCATCTTCAGTCCTGATAGATCGCAGTGAAGCACATTTGATACTACTTGCACTTTACATGACATCTGAGTTGATAAGCAAAGACAATGAACCACGTAAATAGTAGTTGGCAAGACCCAACACTCCCCAACTTAGGAATCTGCGTGACTATGATTGTCTGGATGGGCGAACAAGATGAGAAGCCCATAAACCTAACTAGGATAGTCCTTGGTCAGGGCCTGGTCAATCCATATCCTGGCTGGCCACCACCTGGGCAATGCGCACTTCGACCCAGAGCTTATCTCCCTCCAACTTGAACCGGCCATTGCCCACCCAGTTGCTATTCTCCAGTGCCTTGATTCGAGGCGAGCCCACTTCGAAAGCCATGCTCATCGCTGTAAATACTTCATTAGACACCGTCTTCAGGGAAAAGAGGGCAGTCTCCTTTGGGATGAGGGGCGTTTACTCGACTGTCCAAAAGCAACCGTCTTCGGCTGACCCTGGAATATAGCTGCCAAGTCCTCGGAGACAGTAGAGACGCCCGAATAGTTGAACTTAATTCCCTGGTCTATGGTCAGTATGGGTTGTTTCAGCGGCGGGCCCCAACGGAGGTGGAAGAGACAGGTATGAAATATTTACCTCATCTTCGGTAGTTCTTTATGCCAATACGTTAGTCACAGAGCCAATCCGAAATCCAGTTATTGGGGTTCCGAGCACACCTCGCTATTCCGTGAACGTTCATTCGCGTGTGTTGCTGATCGGGATCGAAGTACAACCAGTCCCCGGCGACAACCACCTGTGCGTTGATGCGGGGAGAAAATCCTTCGACTGTGGTAATCGTACCGCCCGGAGAAGTCTGCATTGCCGTTGAAGTTTCTGCAAGCTTGAAGAGCGCATGTTGAGATCAATGGAGACTCACGTAGTGAATAAAGGTGGAGCCGGAGGAGGTGGGCCCTGTGCGTGCGATGCGTTCAGGTCAGTTTCAGTTATCGGACACACGAGGGATAGAGTTGACACTTGCGTACCGACTGGCTGGCCTTGACCGACCTCAAACTATCACTGCTTCTTGGTATCTAGTTGGATAACATCCAGATTGTTCGGGTAAGTCATACCTTGAGAATATAGGCGGGACGGAGGATAGGAAAGCCTGTGGATTGGGACATGATTGATCAATGATTCTTAGAGACGTGAAGGGATTTCTGACTTCGATTTGGGCCTCAGTAGTCCTGGTGATTGAAAATCAACATAGGCTAGGCTTTATGCTGCACGTGTGGGTGCGCAGATGGTGTGAATCCAATGTCTGACCGTCAGCCTTACTGTCAGACTGTCAGATCGTCAGATTGTCAGATTAGATCGTCAGCCTTCCAAGCTTTCTTCCGGAACCAACTCAAGTGACTGATAGTGACGAGATTTGAGGACACGAGTCAGCGAGAGCAACACCCTCTCAACACTTGGCTGAATATTTGCAATCTTCCCTGCAGATACCCTTATTGGCACCCCGTGGAATGCATACCCACGACATGCACCATACGCCTGTTAGGGCTAGACTGAAATCCTACCATGCTTTTCAATGACTATCTTAACAAATTATTGTATTAAGGCTGGTCCAGCACAAAGTACTAATTGGGAGAGCTGAACAGAAGTTAATTGTATGAGCATATTCATTGATCAAGGCTCGACACTTGCAAATCAGGTGCCTACAATCAAGCACTATCTACTATCAACAGGCTATTCTACCGACCAGGGCTCATCGTGAGTTCGCATAAACGGTGCCATATCAACCGCCTCGCCTTTCTCCCTTCTCAATTCGGTAACGGTTCGTCCCTCACCCAGATACGCCCACATATTCTGCTCGCGATACTTGATATCGTAGTCCTCGAAGCGCGGGCTCTTCAGTGACTTGAGCATATGCAGCATACTTCCGGGCCACAGCTGGATGCGACCGTTGTATTTCATCCACGACTGGCACGACTCCGCCCAGACCGAGTGAGTGTCATGCCAGGTATCGACATGGCGGCGCCACTGAGTGGTCACGGCTTGTTTAGGAGTCAACGAGTGCAAGCCTTCGTTGCTGATCTTGGCCGCACATTGCAGGGCGTATTCAACCTGAGCTTCGTGCTACATGAGGATTGGGTCATCAGCCATGGGATTCGTTGACAAATGGGTGCCCAGACACCACCTACCGTAATCAAGACTGATCCCTGCGCCCAATTTCCTGTGGGACCACCAATGAAGAAGAAGTTGGGGAAGTTCGGCGTCGCCATACTGAGGTAGATGTTCGGGGACTGTGCTGTTCAGCGTCTCAAATTGCGCTCAACCTGGTGGCAGGTTACTTACCTTGGCCCATTCGTCGCGCATCGTTTGGTCCTGCGAACCAACCACAGAACTGGTCAAGTTAGACAGCTATATTTGCACTAGCGCAGAGGCGAGGATTCTCACAAATGAGGTGCGAAGGCTACATCAAAGCCCGTAGCGCAAATGATGAGATCAAATTCTCTCTCCTCGTTGCTAGTTGTTTGTATCCCTTTCTCCGTGAACTGTTCAATCGGGTCCGTAACCACGCGGACATCTGCGTAGATGGTTATTAATGTGACTCAAAGTGATGTTTTCACATTTGTAGAGGTTATCTTACTGTCCATTGTCAGGCTTTCGAGAAAGCCATCGCCAGGCTGTTTCTGTCAGCATGATCGTGCTCATCCGAGATGATGCTTGAATCCAACATACCGTGGGCCTGCGACACCCGGGCGAAAATGTGGGTGTGAATAACCGGGCGATGTCCTCGCGATCCGGCCCCACGCGGGACTGTATCATCTGTGTAATCATTTCAGTAGTCATGTCATGCAGGGGATGGTGACGGAGAAAGATGGGAAACCGCTCCTGCATAACTCCATCGACCGCTTTGCGATACTGGAGGAAACGAGCAGGATCGGTGCGGAAGACCTCCTTCTCGGCCTCGGTATAGAAGTGCTTGCCCGCGGGGGCGGGCATGGCGGATTTCTCAGGGTCATCAGGAAACAGACGCAGATCTTGCCAGGCAGCCGGAGGCACAATCCATTGCGTTGAACGCACAAACACGGACAGGGACTTGGCATCTGAGAGGGATAGGATGATGAGTGTTCATTCGCGTTGGTTCGGGGGCAGCTCATCAACCGCATGTAGGGCATAGTACTGTACCTTTAACAATTTGAGGAATCAGTTGGATGCCCGTTGAGCCAGTACCAATGACCGCAACACGTTTTCCTTTCCAGTCAATGGATGGGTTCCAATTAGCTGGGTGAGTGAGTACGCCACGATAAGTATCAATTCCCGGAATATCGGGCCCTGGTTTCCATGTTAGCCCCGACGTCAGAAACATGAGATGGGATCCGAACATTTCCATTTGTTTAATGGACCCGAGCCATTGATCAACACATGGCATCGGTCCTGAAACAGGGTCCCATCTTTTTTCTTGAGGTCTAGGTGCCCTAGAAATAGAATCAGTATCGCGTACCCCTTATTATAAGTCAGACGAGCGAGACGAACATTCACCGTCTTCTTCAATCCAACGAGCCTGGGTAACCTCCGTTTGAAAGGAGATATACTGATAGAGCCTATGCTTCTTGGCGAAATCCACCAGATATTTCTGAATTTCCTCCCCCCTGGGGTAGTACCCACTCCACTCGGAGTTGGGTTCAAAAGTGAAGGCGTACGAATGAGAGGGAACATCACAGCCCACCCCTGGGTATCTATCTCATTCTCTTTAGCACCGGCCTGCCTATAGGTTCTTGGTCGCATCTCCTATGGTATGGGTATACCTGTTTTCAAACCATGTCCCTCCAACTTCAGTATTCCTAGCAAAGGTCAGGTCGGAGCGACTTCACACAAACACCTTCAACGACATACTTCTCATATACGGCTAACTCATAATTCGATAGCATCTTCTGAGCCTTGTATGCCGTCATCAGACCGGCTGCCCCGGCCCCCACGTGAACAATCCTAAGCCGGCGAGGCTCGGAGTGGGCCCTTTCAAGACGCTCGGTGGTAGAGATTGAGCCCATGCTGGCAAATAACAATGATGATGACGATGATCAGATGTTGTCTGATGGATTACTCAAGGAGAGAAGACTATATATCTTCCGTACTGATTCGCCTGACAAGAGGTTGATCTGACGTTCTGACACGCCCACAGCCGCCTTTCTGACCTGACATGCATGAGCACGTGGCTGAAAGATCTCGTAAGATCAACTAAAATCTCACTTGGCTCGATCTCGGCGAACCCATGCCTGGGCAATGCAGGTACTGTTGCCGCGTGGGAGCTGGGATTAGCACGTGTAACCACGAGGCTGAGTGGCATGTTGTACATACCGTATCTGCGGATCTAATTATTGCGCCAAGTTCGACGTGTACTGTACTCTGCTCCTGGATATAAATGCCAGCCTGTATTCCAGGTTTGAGGAGCGCAGAGCAAGACTTTCCCACAGTGCAATCTTGAATCCTCGAGACAATAGACCATTTTTACTGCGAAGATGAAATTTGCCACGATGGCTGCAGTTCGCCCAGTCCAAATGCTCGCTGTCCTGTCCATAATTGCCGGAGCAGTTGCATCTAATATCACTGCTCTTCTGACCCATCTTTCCTCGTCCAGCGAAGTGTTCTATCCCAACGATGCCGACTGGGGCGATATCATCCAGCGATGGACCGCCTGGGATGAGCCCACTTTCTCACTGGCTATCAAGCCCGGCTCAGTCGCCGATTTGCAGACGGTTGTATGTTGGCGTCCCAAACCCCAAGACCTACCTCACTCGCTGACTGAGTTTATCTTGGCTACAGGTCAAATATGCCACCAGTCAGAATTTACCATTCCTGGCCAGCGGAGGTGGCCATGGATATAGCACCTCATTTGGGGCTCTTCAGCAGGGGCTTCAAATTGATATGGGATCGTTCGACAGCATCCAAATCAATGCTGAGAAGAGCACGATGACCATCGGTGGTTCCGTTAAATTCTCACAAATTATGGAGCCCCTTTTCAATGCTGGAAAGGAAATTCGTGTGTATTCCTGGTATGTTACAGGATGGTTAACATGGTTACTAACCAGTGGGCAATGCCAATAGAAACCGGATCCTGCCCCTGCGTGGGCATGGTAGGGGCAACTCTCGGTGGCGGAGTAGGGCGCTATCAGGGCCTGCACGGTCTGATCATCGACGCGCTGGAGTCCGTGGAACTTGTCACTGTGAAGGGCGATCTCATCACTGTGTCGGCTACAGAGAACGCAGACCTATTCTGGGGCCTGCGCGGCGCCGGCTTCAACTACGGCATTGTCACCTCGGCCACATATAAGGTGTATGATCTCACCAACAAGGGCAACGTACTCAATGCCGACTTCATGTTCCCTGCCGAGCTTAACGAGACCTACTTCAAGATTCTGGCTAGCTATGACACCCTCCCAGCGGCGTTGTCATTGTATACCTTGGTGATGAACGATGCTGCCGCAGGAGTAAGTCAGAGTCTCCCTCTCCTCTCTTGAAACTCCATGATTGAAGTCTAACCACCACCCTGTCTGAGGTGTAATAGCCGGTGATTCTCCTGAACGCCGTGTACCCTGGTCCCGAGCAAGAGGGTCTCGATCTCCTGGCCCCGTTCCTCAACCTCACCTATCTCGAGCGCAACATCTCCATGATTACCTGGGATGCGGTCGACGCCGACGCCGGTTTTGGTCTTGCCACGGCCTTCTGCGTCAACGGCGAGAAACATGACATGTGGTCCCTCGGTGTCCGCACCATCGACGCAGCCACCCACATCACCTACTTTAACCAACTCGCACAATTCTGGTCGGATTACCCGGCCGCGTCCGGCAGCACTTGGCAGGTGGAATATTTTCCTGTCCAAGCTGTGACGGCCGTGGCCGATGCATCGACTGCCTATCCCCATCGAGAAATCCGTGCTCATGAGTATTTCCTCCCCCTCTTATCCTTGCGCACATCTGCAGAAAATGGCGGACGCATGACTGACCCTGTATCTATGATTAGAATGTTCTCCTTCAACCTCACCGATTCTTCCATCGGAACATCTGTCGACGACTTTGCCCTTGCAGCCCTGGAGACCTTCAACGCGACCAGTGGGTTCGACGATCTTCATATCTACGTCAGCTATGCCCACGGAACAGAGGGACTGGACCCTATGTATGGATCCGAGAAACTGTCGCGCTTGTTGGCGCTGAAGAAACAGTGGGATCCCCAGGGCTTCTTCAGCTACAACAACGGGTTGCCGCACTGAGTGATTCGCACGGCCAGGACACACCTCCCATCTGTGCCATTGGAATATTGCGAACCGGGATGAGGTGGGAAATGCGACTTGCAATAACCTGGACGATAGTCTTCACTGTCAATCACTGTAGCCTTCCACTGTGATCATAGCTTAATACATTTACTGCCAAAATTCATCATAGCGGTAGCAATTGGTTAGCTAGGACCGGGCTCTTGTGAATTCCACCAGCTTTCGTGCCAGTTGCGCCAGACCAACTCGTTCTCCACTGCTACTGCTCGCACAAAGTCCAAGGGCTGTGCCATGGTCCGCGCTGTCTCCTTCTCCGTGGCCAGTCCAGACTGCGTGCTGGGTGCAACCTGATGTTGAGGCTGGAAGGAATTCCCAAACGCGTCATCCAGTTCCTCCTCTGTCTGAAGCGGCGGTAGATCTGGGACCGTCGACGAACCGGCTTCCTTTTCGTTGGGTAACAGAAACAGTGGGTTGTCTGGCAGCATGTCTGAGGAGTTGATGGTAAAAGCGGAATTCTTCTGGCACGAGTGAAATGCCCGACAGACATCGTTAAGGGCACTCGCGGCGTCGGCAATTGGGAAAAGTCGCGCCGGATGGCAGCTGCCGCGACCATCATGTTCACCACCCTCTCGAGCGTGCAGAGGTCACTTTCGTACTCACTAGGTTGGGTGGAAGACAGGATGTGATAATAGAGAGTGAAGAAGGCGCCGAAGGGATAGAATGTCAGAAAGCTTCGTTGGGTTAGCGGCGAATGTCCATGCAGAAGAAAGGCCCGGGCTGCAAGCTCACTGTGTCTGAAAGTCGCCATGTTCCCCCCAGGGCGAGATTGGAGATTCTGACTTCTCTGGGATAATGCCGATTATGAGTCTAGCGAAACGAAGTGCTTGTGGGTGCACAATCTGCTCGGCACTTGACACTTTCCGCCTCACGAAGATGATGAAAAGATGCAACGCGATGACCGTCTCGAGAAAGAGCCAGGATTTTACCCAGCCCAGGTTGGGCGATCTGTCTAGTGATAAAAGGTCCCAGTCACTGACCAGTTCTTTCAGCTCCATGCAGCACGTATTCGCCGTGCTACTGAGATGGTCACTGGCCCTACTGGCGTCGAATTGAACGAAGAAGTTGGCCATGATGAAGAGGGTTCGGTACCAGACCAAGAACCGAATGCAGTCATGGGGCTTGGGTTGCCTGGTTTGCGGTGATATCTCCGCTGGCAGTCGGACCTGGCCGACCGGACATCGCAGAGCCGTGGGCTTGTCGTACCAGGTTCTGAAGAGAAGGTGTATTTCCACCAGGTGCCAGTGGACTGAGCGCTTCACATCCTTTTCGATGTCCTCTTATGCAGTACCCAGCAGGAGTGAATCTACTTCATAGATGCCTAGTCAGTCTCCGAAGCGACAAGCCTCGCGGTGGAACTGCCATGACAAATGGTACTCAAAGTTGTTGATTCCCATCCATGCCTGCGCCAAGTGTCAATTATCACTTGGGTGCAGTTGCACACACCCCACTTACCGTTAAGGACGCAGCGATGAGGTCCAGATGCGAGCCTTGGGCCGATGCCAACCACTTCAGAACGACTTGCAGGCAGCGATAGTAGGTTTTCGCCGCTGCTCTCCGTTCTGCACCTGTGCCAGCAGTTTGCCCGGAATATATCGCGCCGAAATAGATGACCTGCATGACTGGCTCGATTATGGCATGCGGTGAGGTGTTCAATGTTGTCCTTGGCTCCGCTGACCATGCGATAGATCCATGCTGCTCTCATTAGCATGCAGCCTACCATGGGGAAGGCCTGATGGTGCCCCACAGCTACTGCGGTTCCCGGATGATTCGGTAGGAATATCCCTCGGCTCTGCTTCTGTCTGCACATTGGTCTGGATTAGGGGAGGTTTTGATGGTGTGGTCCATGGACGTGGTGCCTCTGTGCCTCTCATACGCTCCACGAGTGCCCCCGGACGATGGCCCAGGTGGTGGCGCTCGGAGCTTTGAGTAGTCCGGGGCTTTCTCCTGGGCGGATATGAGCATGAGAGGCCGCTATCTAAACATCTTTTGCATCCGGGATCTCCTTTATCGCATCGCAGCCCTAGCCCATCAGCAAGCCTGATGAAGAGTATGAAAGAGATGAAGAGGAAGCGCAAACCTTCCTGGTCCTACATCTCGTGCACCACATCCCTGAGGTTAGCAAGTGTTTGATGATGAATAGGACACAAGAACGGGATTACGGGCATTCGACAACTTCATTCGAGATAAAGAGTTATAGTGGTACATTCTGGTCAGAGAATTAGGTGGGGGGGGGGGAAGGCAAGTGAATGAATGCATGAAGGGATGAATGCAATCTCGGACATTTATAAGTCCACCAGCCCGAGCGTCAAGCCCAGCAGGACAAAACCCCCCGCGTCATCACGTGATTCCTGCTTCTCATGAATGAATCAGTCATTAGGTATTGGGGAATCTCACTCGGAGATGGAGATGACTAGGATTCAATACTAGTCCATGGTCACTGTGACCAAGCGAGGCAGGCCCTCGTGGTCTAGGAAAGCCAAAGGTGATTGGCAAGAAATGCATGTTAGTTGTCTCTTATGTCTCTACAATATCCTCTAAGTATCTGGAGACATACATGCCGTCGAGGCCGTTAGGTAAGGGGTAGACTTTGAGAACACCCAATGACGAGTCCCTTGTAGCGCTCACGCAAGGGACTTTCATGGTGTCAAAAACCAAGTCCGACCAAGGGATGCCTTCCTGCTGTGACTCGGGTGAAATTATAAAGTTTCTTCGAGTCCCTCGGGGGTCTTAGATTGATAGACTTTCTCAGTATGCGATAGAATTCTGTTGTGCAGCGTCCAATATTTCACCAAGAAATGGACTCCAAACCGGCCGACAATCGGCACGCAGCCCTAAGCGGCGTTCCCATGACAACTCGCACGCCTACCAGCAGTTGCAACTCGGACTCGGACGGAAAGGCGACTTTGGCCGAAAATCAGGAAGAGATTGATCGTGATCTCACTCACTTGGCTCGCACCGTGAGTGAGCGATCCAAAGGGTCGCACCATCCGCTGCCTTTTAACAAAAATGACCTCGTTCTCGACCCACACAGTTCTCGATTCAACTCCAGAGCCTGGGCAAAAGCCTTTTACGGTCTTCGCTACCAGTCTGATAACAGCGCCCCAGCACGCGTGGCCGGGGTTGCCATCAAGAACCTGAATGTGGTGGGATATGGCAGTCCAGTTGACTATCAGATGAGCGTGGGGAATGCGATCTTGAAGGTGCCAGCCCTCATCCGCCAACTTCTGGGCGGGAAGAAGCACAAAATTGAGATCCTTCGTGATGTCGACGGCTTGCTTCTCCCGGGTGAACAACTCTGTGTTCTCGGGCCTCCTGGTTCCGGCTGCTCGACCTTCCTCAAAACAATTGCGCAAGAGACATATGGATTCCAGGTCGACCCGACCTCGTACATCAACTACCAAGGGATCACCCCAAAGCAGATGTCAGCGGAATTCCGTGGTGAAGCCGTATATACAGCCGAGGTGGATGCTCACTACCCCCAACTGGTGGTTGGAGACACTCTGTACTTCGCTGCCCTCGCCCGTGTCCCTCGTCAAGTACCCGGTGGAATGTCTCGCCAGGAGTACGCCACCCATCTGCGAGATGTGATCATGTCAATCTTTGGGATCAGCCATACGATTAACACCATGGTTGGGAATGATTTTGTGCGTGGCGTCAGTGGAGGTGAGAGAAAGCGAGTTACCATCGCAGAGGCCGCATTGAGCTATGCTCCATTGCAGTGCTGGGATAACAGCACTCGAGGCCTGGATAGTGCCAACGCTGTGGTACGTACACCAGAATAGCTACTCTGTGAGACCATACTGATGAATCCTTGGTGGTATAGGAATTCTGTCGGACATTACGCACACAGGGCGATGTTTTCGGTGTGACCTCGTGTGTTGCCATCTACCAGGCACCCCAGGCAGCCTACGACGTAAGTTAGCTTCACACTCATAGGCATGAATCCTGGCTAACAGGTTGTTTAGCTTTTCGACAAAGTCACCGTTCTGTACGAAGGACGACAGATCTACTTTGGCCCTGCCCAGGCAGCCAGGGATTATTTCATTCGCATGGGGTTCATATGCCCCGAGGCACAGACAACTGCTGACTTCCTGACTTCCATGTCAAGCCCCGTTGAACGCGTCATACGCCCAGGATATGAGCACCTCGTGCCCAGAACGTCCGACGAATTCGCCAGACGATGGCATGAAAGCCCTGAGCGCCAGGCTCTTCTGCATGAAATCGACCAATATGTTGACGCACACCCATTCCACGCTTTGGACCTTGATAGATTCGCCTCTGCTCGACAAGCGGAAAAGTCCACAAAACAGCGGCGAAAATCTCCATACACTTTGTCCTACTGGGGCCAGATTCGGATTTGCCTATGGAGAGACTTTCAGCGACTCAAAAACGATCCGAGTGTGACTCTCGCCATGCTAATTGGAAATTTCTTCGAAGCCTTGATCGTTTCTAGTGTGTTCTACAACCTGGCAAACGACACATCATCTTTCTTCTCGCGTGGTGCCCTTCTCTTCATGCTGGTCCTCCTGACCGCCTTTTCCAGCCTGCTGGAAATCATCGTTCTGTATGAGAAGAGGACCATCGTCGAGAAACACACCCGATACGCCCTCTATCACCCGAGTGCTGAGGCCATATCATCCATGATCATGGACATGCCCTACAAAATCGTGAACTCGTTGCTCGTCAATCTGGTGTTGTACTTTATGGGAAATCTCCGACGGACGCCGGGAGCATTCTTCTTTTTGTACCTGGTCGCATTCTCCATGATGATGAGCATGTCTATGTTTTTCCGGTTTTTTGCCTCAATTACCAAATCGCTCGAGCAGGCCCTCGCGCCCTCGTCCATCATTCTGCTCGCCCTCATACTCTATACGGGATTTGCTCTCCCCGTCAGCTACATGCGTGGTTGGGGCTCGTGGATCCGATGGCTGAATCCAGTCTCGTATGGCTTCGAGGCTGTGATGGTGAACGAGTTTCATGACCGGGTGTTCCCCTGTGCCTCCTTCATTCCCTCCGGACCAGGATACGAGAATGTTTCAAGTCAAGAGCGGGTGTGCTCGACTGCAGGAGCTGTTCCGGGGTCCGATGTCGTCCAAGGCACCGCATTCGTGCGCTCCTCTTATGGATACGAGAACAGTCACCGCTGGCGCAACTTCGGGATTATCATTGCCCTGACCATTTTTCTGGCTGTCTGTCACCTCGTCGCCTCCGAACTAGTTTCTAGCCAACGCTCCCGAGGTGAAGTGCTCGTCTTCCGGCGCAAGAAAGTGCAGAAAGCTTTGTCGGCACAGAACCAGAAGGATGAGGAGCAGGGGCCTGATCTTGTGGTGCAGAGCGACAAAGCACCCAGCCAGGGGTCGGGGACCATCTCCGGAGTCGAGAAGCAATCGTCAATCTTCCACTGGGAGGATGTGACCTACGACATCAAGATCAAAGGCGAGCCGCGACGCATTTTGGATCATGTCGACGGTTGGATTCGGCCGGGTACTTTGACAGCGCTCATGGTAAGCAGCCATACCTCCCACATCGTACCCTTTGGTCAAACTAACTATTGTGAACAGGGAGTCTCCGGCGCCGGGAAAACGACCTTATTGGACGTATTGGCGAGTCGCACGACAGTTGGTGTTATTGGTGGCAATATGTTGGTGGACGGTCGCGTTCGAGACGAATCCTTCCAGCGTAAGACTGGCTATGTGCAACAACAAGATCTGCACCTCCACACCTCAACGGTCCGTGAAGCCTTGAAATTCAGCGCCTTGCTCCGACAGCCACGCCAGTACAGCCGAGCTGAAAGGCTCGCGTATGTGGAGACTGTGATTGACCTTTTGAACATGCGGGAGTATGCGGATGCCATCGTCGGGGTACCAGGAGAAGGGCTCAACGTGGAGCAGCGCAAGCGACTGACAATTGGAGTGGAACTGGCTGCGCGCCCTAAGCTGCTGCTTTTCTTGGATGAGCCAACCTCGGGATTGGATAGCCAGACCAGCTGGTCCATCTGCAACCTGATGGAGACCTTGACCAAGAATGGACAAGCCATTCTCTGTACAATCCATCAACCGTCTGCCATGCTGTTTCAACGCTTTGATCGACTCCTTCTGCTGGCCAAGGGTGGCAAGACTGTCTACTTTGGGGAGGTGGGAGAAGGATCGCAAGTTCTCATGGACTACTTTGTTCGCAATGGGGGATCAGCCTGCCCGCCGGGGGCGAATCCAGCAGAGCACATGCTGGAGGTCATTGGAGCGGCTCCAGGGGCCCAGACGGAGATTGACTGGCCCGCAGTCTGGAGAAACAGTCCTGAATATCAAGATGTGCAGAAGGAATTGGCCAAACTGAGGGAGTTGGCCACCAAGCCCTCGCCGCTCGCTGATCCGAATGACAAGTCCAGCTATGCCGAATTTGCGGCGCCTTTCTTCGAACAACTGATTCAGGTCGCCCGTCGGGTCTTCCAGCAGTACTGGCGCTCGCCCTCCTACATCTACTCCAAGATGGCATTGACTGTTGGCTGTGTAAGTCAGAACTCTTGGACCACCTGGGATGGTAGTGATTAACAGCTAACCGCACCTTTGCATTTTGCAGGCGCTCCTCATCGGGTTCTCTTTTTTCATGACAGACAACACTCGACAGGGGCTACAGAATCAGTTGTTTGGCGTCTTCATGTTTCTCTTCGTGGTTGTTCAGCTGGTGATGCAGATCATCCCAACCTTTGTCACGCAGCGGACGCTCTACGAATCGCGCGAGCGGCAGTCCAAGACCTATGCATGGCAAGCATTTATTCTCTCTAACATCGCGGTGGAGTTCTTTTGGAATACGGTATGTCCATATTGTATCTCGCTCTGCCTCGATTTACTGACTAACCACCTCGTTCAGATCATGGCGATATTATCCTTCCTGGTCTGGTACTATCCCGTCGGCCTGTACCGTAACGCGGAATATACCGGCGAGATTCACACTCGGGGGACGCTGAGTATCCTCATCATCTGGGCTGTCTTTCTCTTCACAAGTTCGTTTTCGCACATGTTGATCTCTGGGATGGATAGTGATCAGCTGGCATCAGCGCTGTCCAACATCCTGTTCATTATGATGTATGCTTTCTGCGGCATTCTGGCAGTTCCGGATGCTCTTCCCAGCTTTTGGATCTTCATGTATCGCGTCAGCCCCTTTACCTACCTGGTATCCTCCTTGCTATCGGCAACCCTGGGCGATGCTCCCATGCATTGCGCCGACAACGAAATTCTGTCCTTCTTCGCTCCCTCTGGAATGAGCTGCGGCGAATACATGCAAGACTATCGCTTGGCCCACGGGGGTTATCTGCTCAATCCGGACGCCCGAGACAGCGACGAGTGCAACTTTTGCAGCTTAGAGTACACCAATCAGTATCTGGCAGGCCTGAATATCAACTTCGCCAATCGGTGGCGCGATCTTGGCCTGCTGTGGGTGTATATTGTGGTCAATACTGTTGGTGCCATTGCGTTCTACTGGATCTTTCGTGTGCCCAAGGGGAAGAAAGCCAAGAAGGAATAGTTTTGTGGCCTCTGTCACACTAGATCGGGTTTTTATAAATTTACTCTCGTAACTTGCATTTCGCTCTTCCGTCTCCAGATTATGTCACTCGTGCATATTGTAATATATATTATCCAGTGCTTTGTGTGGTTTGTTCCTTGGAGGTAATTCGTGTCACTTGAGAGCTAAACCGCATTCAAGCTTGCTTCCACCCTATGTCTATTGGTCCTGATGACATCCATACGAATCACAGGCGCTACCCTGACGTTCTTAGACCGTCGTTCCGTATACACCAGGAGAGTTCCTCCAGTACCTTACCTCACCCTATAGCTCTTGGAACATGGAAAAGGCCAAGCAGCCCGTGTCAGCAGGTGGCTGATTGAAAGTAACCCCGCATTCCATAGGGTGAGTTAGTGGGATTTAGCGTTAACTAGTCTCTCATCCTTGCAGAAAACACCAAGTGTCCTCACTTCTGCCAGCTTATCTCCAGAGCCAGCCAGCCATAGCCATGCAAGCCAAGTCTGGGCGTCAACGAGCGCGGACCACTCGCTCGAGAACGGGCTGTCGAACCTGTCGGTAAGCAATTGGTCGCCAGCCATATCTTCTTTATTCTCAACGTCACTCGTCAGAGCACGCCGGATCAAATGCGACGAGACGCCAGGGAGATGCCAGAACTGTGAAACCGCAGGCTGGCCCTGTGAGGGATCGGACATGAACCGTTTACCGGGCAAAGCAACGTATGGCGCCCAGCACGCGGCACTGTTGTCCTCAGTGGCGGCGCAGTTTCCGTGGACCATCACCTCCGACGAGAAACGCTGCCTCTCCTTTCTATGGCATCATCTTATCCCCGCCTCGGTGGTTGTTTCGGGGGTGTCCGACCTTTTCTCGCCGCGGAATCTGATCGGCCAACTGAGCGCCGTCGAGCCGGCCGTCTACCATGCCCTCGTAGCCCTAAGTGCCATCAATCACCGGGTACTTGAAGCGGGGATTGCAATCCCCGGACAGTCGCTGTGTAGTAAATGGCATCATTTCGCCCTGGAGCAGTCGCTGCGCGCATTCACTCTTCTGAAGCACCGGCCTGCCTCCCAAGATCCACGTCTCCGCCAGGTGATTCTAGTCTGCTGCCTGCTCTTCGTGCTGATGGAGCTGGCGTCCGCCCGCTACGACGACGCCAACACACACCTGCAAGCCGGGCTGAGAATTCTCTACGAGGAGGCGCCGTTCTCTTTCCCCATAGACCCAATTCTATCCGACGCCTTTCTCTACCTGGAATCACACGCAGCGTTTCACGGAGTCCACCAGCCTTTCCGCGAGCTGGACGCCCAATTCGTCCGCCTCGAAACCTTGGAAATCCAGCTCCGCCCATGCCGGAGCGTCGAGCACGCACGTCAAGCCCTGAACCCTCTCGTGCCTACCATCTTCCGCCTCCTCGAGCGGTGCTGGAGCCTGTCCGAGACCGACCTCGCACGCCAATACGGCGTCCTGCAGCCCAAACAACAGCGCCTGCTATCCTGTCTGACCCAAGTCAAAACCTACTTCGACGACCTACTGACAACGTATCCCCACTTCACTGACCGCGAGCGGCGCTCCGCAGACGTGGTGCAACTGAGCCTGCTCACTTTCACTTTATCCCTCAAGACCTGCCTGCACGCCCCGTGGGATCCCGCATTACACCCACTACGCCCGGAGTTCGAGGATCTGATGGCGAACACTGTGGCCCTGAACGCTAAACTGGGGACGCGCCCGCAGTTTACCCCCGATGGAATCCTGTGCGCTGCCCTGAGTTTCCTGGCGCTGCGATGTCCGGATTACCGCATTCGTCTGCAGGCCATCGCTGAACTACGAGCTTCTCCACGCGCAGAAGGATATTATAACGGACTGGTGGTGGCGGAATTCGCCATCAGTGGGTTGAAGCTCGAGTTGACCCAGTCCACGTCGGGATCGATCAAGCAAGATACCAGGCAGCAACGGCTACAGTTCAAGAATACGCCCTATCCTCAAGACAGAACCATGGAAGAGCTGCTCGGTCTGCAGCAGGATGAGCACTTGCTGGGGTCGATTGCCACCCTGCAAGGCGCCTCAGACTGGCTGTCCAACCAGGTGGGCGGGCAGGTCCAGACGGAGTGCTCGGAAGTCGGCGGGCATCAGGTCTGGTATCTCAATGCGTTGAATCCTGGGGGGGTGCCGCGGGAAGAGGGGGACAGGCAGCGGCCTTCAATGTACAGAATTGACTACGCAACGTAGCTTCTCGTAGTGATACAGTGAATTCAGATAGCGCTAAGGATATGTACATGCTTCCAACACAAACGTCTAATCAGTCTTTTCTTCATCACGTCTAGAGTTCTACTTTTACTCCGACTTAGCGACCTCGCCCTTAACCCAGGCCTCCAGACCACCAGCGGCGATGATCGCCTGCACGTTGGCGGGCAGCTCGCCCACCGGCTCCGTCCAGCTCTCGCCGCCCTCACCCTCCTGCACCTCGACCTGGCTGCGCTTGACGTCCCACGTCAAGGTCCAGCCAGTGCGGCGGGTGGGCTGGCGCTCAGCACCGGCCGGCTGAGCGAAGGTGGCGCGGAGGCGCTCGACGAGGCGGGGCACCTCGAGACCCATCAGGGCGTTGTTGATACTGTTGCGGGAGAAGATGTTGCCGAAGCTACCAGCGACGACGAGCGGGATCTGTTTGGCCAGGATGGCGGTGGCGGCCTGCTCGCGGGAGGAGCCGCAGCCGAAGTTGAAGCCGGCGACGAGGATGTCGCTGGGCTTGGCGACGTCCTTGAACTCGGGGTCGTAGTTCATCATGCAGGCGCGGGCCATGTCCTCCTTGGAGACGTTGTCCTGGTAGGTCAGCTTGCCGGGGTAGATGCTGTCGGTGTCGAGGTTGTCGGCGTCGCAGAAGACGATCTCGCCGCTGATGCGCTCGGGGAAACCGGGCAGGATCTCGGTGGCCGTCTTCTCCGTCGAGCCCTGGGCGGTCTCCACCCGGTCGATGAAGGACTCCATCTGCTCTAGAAGGTTGGTGAGCTGCTGCTCGGTGGTGGGTTCCGCACCGGTGCCGAAGCCGTGGTCCACACCCAGCCACTCCGCCGGGGGCACCTGGAAGGTGCCGGGGCCGGAGATCATGCCGCTGAGCGCACTGGCGGCGACGACCTCGGGGCTGGCCAGGTAGGCCTGCGCGTCACGCGAGCCCATGCGACCCTTGAAGTTGCGGTTACTGGCACTGATGCCCACCTCGCCGGGCTCCAGCAGACCGGTTCCGAGGCCAATGCACGGACCGCACCCGGCGGGAAGCGGCTGCGCGCCGGCCTCGAGCAGGATCTGCCAGTCGCCGGTGGATTCGGCAGCCTCCTGCTCAGGAGCGGAGGCGGCCGCGATGTAGAACTTCACGCCGTCGGCGATCTTGGGGGTGACGTCGCCGTTCGCCTTGGCAGCGGTGCGGAAGACTTGCGCGGCGGCGGCGATATCCGAGGCGCGGGAGTTGGTGCAGGAAACGACGTAGGCGCGGTTGACCTTAATGTTCTTGGCGGCCAGCTCAGCCAGGGGAGTGGCGACCTTGACGGAGTTGGGGCCAGAGACATAGGGAGAGAGGGTGGAGAGGTTGAGGTACAGCTGCTTAGCATATTGAGCATCGGGGTCCGCGGTGAGGGGGTTGGCGAACAGCTCCTCGATTCTCTCGTGCGTGATGCGCTCGCGAGTGGAACGGTCATCAGACAGGGCAGCGACGGTCGCCTTGTACCGGAGCCAGCGCTTGAGGGTGGTGTCGATGGGGAAGAGACCGGTGAGCGCGCCCCACTCGGTGGTCATGTTGGCGATCGTCAGGCGGCTGTCGACGAGCAGACTGGCCATGGTCTCCTCCGAACCGGTGAACTCAATGGCGTGGTTCAGGACGTCGCTCTTGAAGAGACCGCACAGCGCGACAATCACGTCCTTACCGGTCACGCCCACGGGGAGCGTGCCAGTGAAGGTGACCTTGGCCACCGGGGGAATCTGCCACCAGGTGCGCGAGGTCGCCCAGATACTGGCTGCGTCAGTGCGGACCACGGCGGTTCCCAAGCAGCCGACACCACCGTAGTGGTTGCTGTGACTGTCGGAGGCGACTGCCATTGTGCCGGGCCACGCGTATCCTTCCTCCACCATCACCTGGTGTCCAATACCCCGTCCTGCAGGATAGAAGTCGATACCGTGTTTACCCGCAAACTCCTCGATTTGCTGATACTTCTTCAGATTCTGGGGGCTGGTGTTCTGAACGTCGTGGTCGAGGGTCATGACGATCTGCTTCGGGTTGTGCACCTTGGTGGCTCCCATGGACATGAACTTGAGAGCCACAGGCCACGAGTTGTCATGCGTCATGCAGTATCCGGGCGCCAGACTGATATAGTCGCCACTGCGAACGAACTTTCCGGGGGGGAGACCGACGGCATAGCGTTGCACGATTTTCTCCGTCAGGGTCTGCGGCGTGCGGGTCTCGGAGGGAGTGGTCGAGGGGGGGGCCTGCTCTTGCTGCGAGTGAAAGCCTTGGTCCCTGACAATCGGGGTCGTGCTGAGGGCGCGAACGGAGCGAGGGGGGAGGGATGTGGCGATGGATCGTGGGAGGAGGGCAATTCTCCTGCTGGAAGCCCCGAGCGACGGAGTAGACCGAAGCCGAAGCTGGGTGGAGTTAGAGGAGCAGATCAGATGGGGAATTTGGAAAGATCAAGGAAGGTCTAGCGACTCACCGGCCGGCGGAGCAAGTTGCAGAGCTGCCTCGCCATGTTCTCTTTTGTTCAATGGTCAATGGTATCGATTGAACACGAGAGAGAGGAGATGATGGGGGGGGGAAAGGGAAGGATTGAGTCACCTCAAGATTTTTCCCCGTTCCCCTGGCGCCGATCTCGCAGGCGGACAATGCGAAGGCGAGAAGCCCAGAGTCACAGCACGTGATCTGGGGTAGTCCCAGCCAGTCGCACCGCCGCATTTCTAAGCACAGTGTAGTCCCGTGTTGGTGCCTGAGGCCGCTATCAGGCGCATGACTCATTGCGATAACTAAACGGTGCTTTAACTTGATTGGTACTAGTGTGGGATTGTGTCGCTTTCATTGGGTGTAATTTACTCGAGTATATACGCAGTACATCAAAATACAGTTATTTCAAATATATCACGCACCTATAAGCAAGCACATATACCACCAAGCCCCTAGGCGATCGCTATCGAGGTATTTGGAAATCGCTTCTGCAACTCATCGAAGATATCCGCCGCACTGATGGCGTAGGTGGTGAAGTCCTGGTCATCTTGCGCCACAATCATGGCAAACAGGGAGCCATTGTCCCCTCCATCCACCACCCAGGCTCCAATATCCTCCGCAAAGGAAACCATACTCAATTGATACGCTACGGGGAAGTCGGTGGCTGCGACAGACAGGCTACTCAATCTTCCAGACACGTCGGTTCTGACGGGGGGGCGAGCGCCGTTCCCCAGCAAGCACCACAGCTGACCGCGGGGCGAGCTTCCGGTGACCTTGGATGGTGAGAGCACTTGCCACCCCCCGACCGTGACACAATTGGACCGGGGCCTTTGATCACACAATCGAAACAGAGCCCAATTCTGTCGAACCGACCAGAAGCCGGGGTTGAACTTCCTGGTCCCTTTGTAGCGGGGCAAATAGGCCACCGCGTGGGGCTCCTCGCTGTCCAGGGCGTACATCGCGCGGGACCGGAACGAGGCCCAACGCTTTCTGTGCTGGTTGGAAGGAGGTTTCAGAAAGGGATGCAGAACGGTCAGTGCATAGTACTCGCCATCGATGATCACAGTGCCTCCAATGGTCGCTGTTTCATCCGAATCGCGTCCAACCCTGACGCGAGTGCCACACAGGGCCTCTCCCTTCCATGAGTCAATGCGGTAGCCCATCTTGGAAAGTGGCGGAGTACTTGGTATGCTCGGTATGCCTGGTACTTGCCGAATAATTCTCAATCTAGATTGGGTCTATTTATAGTTGGTCAGATCTCTTTGCCCTTTGTTGTGCTCGGGTTGCGCAAGATGCACAAGCCAACAATGGCCTGCCGTTGCTTTGTCCCTGTCACGCTGGTTCTCTGTATCTTTCCGGAGAATTCATCATCTCACTTTCATTGCACATGGTCATGGTGGACAATGTTTCTTTGAAACTGCGTAATTACTGCAGAATTAGTATTAGAACGACAACGTTGACTGTGCAAGAATCTAACGGATGATGACATCCAGCACCGCCGACTTGGCCTCCTTCACCACAACCCTAATCGCCTCAGTAAGAGCTTCATCTAGCTGGCCTACACACTCCACACGCTTCGCCCATAGGTTTCCGTTAGCTGCAGCCTTGGCAATGCCCCCATAATCAGGCCCATCCGCGACCAGGGAAATCCCCAGCTCTTCCTTCGACAAACCAGCCGCAACACCGGTCGGGTGTACATCCTTCAAGCATTGACTGGTGGCATTCCACCCTCCATTGTTCAAGATGAGAGTCAGAAAGGGGCACTGATAGCGGTGACTGGCCCAGAAGACCGCGGTCGGAACCGAGAACACAAAGCTTCCATCACCCGTGATGCTGCACACAAAGGGACGGGTCTCTGACGACGAAGCCCCCTCAGCCTTCTGCTGAACCACCGGCCGGTTGGACAGATCGTACCGTGCCGCGGCCAGCTGCACCCCGATTGCAGCGCCGCCCGCCCAGCCCAATCCGCTGCCGCCCTTGGTGAGATGCGAGCCCGGTCGGTGCAGGCGGAGCTGCTCCGTCATGGCTACCTGGTTTGTGACCGAGTCGGTTACATAGACCGTCTCCTGGGGTAGCAGTGCGCGGACGCGACCACACAAATAGTCTACACTGCAGGGCGCATCCGGCGTCGACAGCAGTGCGGCCGCACGGGCATCGATCTGTGCCTGGCCCTTGTCGTATGATGCCTTCACAGCCTGCTCACGCGCTTGCCAGCTTTCACGAGCTTGCAATTCGGGCAACTGAGGGGAGGTAGATATATAAGCAGTAAGCTGGCTCAAAGCAGCCGCCGTGTCCGCGTGGAAGGTGAGAGACGCATTGATATCGAAAATATTCATGCGTTCTTTTCGCGGGTCAAGGTCGATATGGAGGATTTGGGCGGTGGAAGAAGGGCGCACACGCGTGGGAATCCACGGCACATCAGCATCTAGGACGAGAATCACGTCGGCCGATTGCACTGCGGGAGCTGCCCCCGTCCCTCGCGTCACACAGGCAGGATGGGTGGCTGGGAAGCTCATCTCACGGAGCTCCGAGTCAAACACTCGCAGGCCGGAGATCATGTCAGCCAAGTGGACCAGCTCTTGGACGGCGCGATGATTGCGACCCAGGTACCCGGTGATCACCAGCGGGGCTTGCGCATTGAGCAGCGCTGTACTGATTACCTCTACTTGCTCAGAGGGCAGCGAGCCCAGGAGACACGATGGTAGGGCCTTAGGCCGCAGAGCAGGGTCGCCAGAAGGTATCGCAGTGGCAAGAATCTCCCGTGTTGCGGTCAGATAGACAGGCCCGGGGGAGCCCGTCGTGGCCATGAGCACTGCGCGATGCACCACGGTGGACACATTGTGCGGGGACTTGATCTCGGCACTGTAGCGGCTGTACGGCGCCACGAGGGCAGCCTGGTCGCGAATATCTTGGTACCACTGCACATGCTCCGATCGCGAGCCCGGAGCCTCCCCGAGAAAGGTGGACGGGGCAATCCCTGCCAGAATCACCACGGGGGCTCGTCCGCTGGATGCATTGTGCAGCCCCTGGCCCAGAGCTGCCGTCCCCACATCAACGTGGGCAATCACACACGCTGGCCGGTGACTGATTCGTGCGTACCCATCGGCCGCTGACATGGCGACAAACTGATGGTTGGCTTGTTAGTACATACATGGAATCTTTCGTCAGTGGGAGACTGTAGCTGACCTCATGCTGAAACAGAATCATCTTGGGATACTGCCGTGTGGGATCATTCTGTCGGCGCACGTAGGCCTCGATGATGCTGGGGTGGTCGGATCCCAGCACGGTGAAGAGGTAATCTACGCCTGCCTGGTCGATGTCAGTGCGGTTTCAATTGCACCCTTGGTGGAGATGCACTACCTGAGCCAGAGCTTCTAACAGCTCATCTGCCACGGTCGGGGGGGCTCGATTTTCTGCTCGGTGATTTTGAGACATGTTGGTACTCGGCGTCTCTGGCAAGAGAAAAACGATAATTCCTTGCTTCTTGTTCTCCTCTGGGCCTCAGCCTTTCCCTCAATGCCTCTTATCCCTGCAAACAGCGTTCGGCAAATGCGAAATACCTTCCACCCGGGGATATATTGCAGAGCCCCACTGATAGCAGGCCTGGATTTCTCGCTGTGAATAATCATTGAGGGAATGAGATTGACCCTTTAGCCGAGTGGAACCCCGACGGATCAGGCCATGGCAGCGCTAGGGAAGAGATGGAGGTTTGAACCCCCTGTCAAAACAAGCACTTAGGGCTCGATAAGCCGGGCTAACCCGGCCGCTCCCCACCCCGATCCACCCTACCCATCGCGCTATCGAATGCCTTTTGAGACACTCAATGTCCACCACAATTTGCTGTTCGGTGAATATTCCACCTTGGCCTTAGTGTGGGCTATTAAAGTACCCCGTGGCAATAACAGCACGAGTGTCTCGTTACAAAGAGAAGGTGTTAACAAGTCAAAAAACGCTAAAAAGAAAAGGAAGCAGAAAATGATCTCAGAGTAAGAATTCCTACAAGCATCTGGACGATGTCCTTGCTGGTCTCTAGCACCGGTCGTTACTTCGGTGCCGGTTCACTGTGCATGTCAATTGCGGTAGTGAGAATGATCTGGCCTTTGGCAATAGCCCCCTGACTCCCCACGCTCTCAGAATCCGCATCAGGATCGTGTCTCTCCACCCGCCATTCTTGGCCGAGCTGCGTGCCTTCCTGGGACTCCAACCGGCTCATACGATAGCTCCGCCCCGTTCTGGTCCTGGTGGCTCGACTGCGCGACTTGCGCGATCCAGTCGAAAGCGAGACAAACCAACTGGGAACCAGCTTCTGGGCAGAGTGCTTCAGGAACGGTAAGCAAGCGCAAATGATCCCCGTACTCGCCTCGATGGCACTCCACAGCAGGGCGTCGAATGAGCCCCAGGTCGGGTCCTGCGTGGTGGTGCTCGCCTCCATTGCCCACATCCTGATGATACTGGTGATGCACACGAACAAGCCCATGCAGAACACGAGCATCACACCGATCTTGCGGATGCGGTCGAGATGCAGCTGCGCGAGAACCGGCAGTGGTAGCACGCAGACCCAGATGTCCATCGCCGTGTTGTAGCCCGCCCACGACCATCGGAAGCTCGCATTGTCCACACACTTCTTGGGGATGTTCTTGTGCCAGCTAGCATGGACCGGGATGCACTGGAAGATCGTCGCGAGCACAAATCCGAAGGTGCTGGAAATGACGAGACCAATGGTCACCCAGCAGATAATGCGGAAGGGTCGCGTGGGAAAGATTCGCAGGTAGAAAGCCAGGAAGCTGAGCTTGTTGAGACAGAGGACGGTCTTGTAGAGAATTTGGAAGAGCCAGAAATACTGCGTAGTGAGGCTCGAGTTAGCATTCTCATGACCATTGGGGCGAATCGTCGAGAAAGGCACCTTCAGCGCAAGCACCAGGTTGCCCCCGGACCGTACAATGTCAGCGCGATGACGGCCAAATGCATAGTGGCACGCTGCAGGGTAGAGCACAGTCAGTATTCGTAGTCACTTCAATGTTCAACGGGTAGGAAGGTGCGCCCCTACCCAAGTCGCCCATAACGGTATTCACAATCTGTATGATCTGGTTCTCCTGTCAGCACAGGCTCTCTTCATTTGCAATGCGAACCATACCATCGAAACCTGGATGATCACATCATCTGCAGAGACGGCAGTTTGTCTGTACACCTTCCATAGCACCCTATGGGCGACCAAGATGAATGCAATCGCGGTCAAAGCCCCGGTAACCCTGATGAATAGGGGACCTTTGTCCGGGATATTGGCATCATGCTTGATCATAACGTTTCTATTTGGATTTCTTCCAGTAGCATGCTAGAAAGGAAGAGAACGAGGGTGGGTAGGACCTCGCCATGTAAAGTCCCTGTCGTAACCCTGGAAAAGGGATCGAAGGATTCAACTTGCACAGTGAAAACAGGGCTGGCGGCTCACTACGTAAATCATCTTTTTGCAAGATCTGTACCTAATTACCGTCTCGACACGGGTCCGTTTCCCTCGGTGATTTCGCTCCGGACATGGAAGACTACTGAGTACATGGCGACTGCGTGCCGGTACTTGGTCACCCCCTTGTGGAGCAAAGATCAAGAACGATTGGTTGTCACACATGGAGACCAGTCAAATTGCACCATTGGGTGTCATTTATGATCGGGTTTACCCCTCTACATTAATGCCACGCAAACGTCTCAGGTTACTTTGTGCAGCCAGCGGATAACCTCCCATTCGACACTGGGGACAGATCACAACTATTGTCTACTTAAGTTGAAGCATATGATGCAGATAATGAAGACTAGCTCGAGTGGACGACATTCAGCCCAAACAGTGTGCTATGGCAGCGTAACGGCTGTATAAAAGATTTTCCCTGTTGCACTATATCGTTGAGTCCTTTAATTGTAGGTGTGGGTCCTGAGGGAGAAAGGACATCGGAGGGGGTGGACGGGACGGGAGGAGGAGTCCGGACGATTTCCGCGCTGAGGGTCTCCGTGCAAGAACTCTATGTGGTCAATGACCCTGCACCTAATCACCTAGTCTAGACTACTTCACTTCCTCGGTGGAGTCTGGGTAAACTCCCCGACAAATGGTTGTGTGGGTGCATCCATTCTTAATTATCCTACCGGGCCGAGTGCTTGGAATGGAGCCACTAGGGCTGACTATCATGCTTAGGGTCTTTTAAGTCCGTAAAGATATATTGCCGTGGGTCCAACGCTGAATACACCCACCACTTCCTTGAACGCACCCCATGAGTACCGGTAGTTGCAGGCCACACCTTCATCAATGAGACGATGAAAAGAAGTCTGGCTTGCAATTAATCAGCCGGAGATTGTCTAACTAGTCACTTGGTGATGGCTTGACCCAAACCCTCCCTTGCCACCCCTGACCACTCGGAAATTCCGACCTGAGTTTCATCTACAAAAGCCGACCATGTCGCGCCACGTGCATGAGTGGTTGCTTTTTCTTGTAGTTCCACTCTTTCTGCCGACCGTTATTTTGCAAGGCTACAGCCATGGAGAAGCAAGAGATCGAGCCCCGCGTGGTTGAGGCGTCAACGCCAGACTTTGATCCCGCTTTGGAGAAGAAGTTGCTGCGAAAGCTGGACTGGCGAGTCATCCCAGCACTATGGTTTCTCTTTTTGGTGTCATTCATGGATCGTTCCAACATTGCGTGAGTGTTCAGCTCCCTTCCACTTTATGTTGATGGGCCGAGCCTTAACCATGTGGTTTGATGTAGAAATGCGAAGATCGCCGGCATGGCCAAGGAGCTGCACCTGGTGGGAAACGAATACAACCTCGCCGTGACCATGTTCACGGTCGCATACGTCGTCTTTGGCATGCCGGCCAACCTGCTGGTCAAGAGGTTTGGCCCAAGGATGCTGGTCCTATACATGTTTACTTGGGGTGAGAGCAACCGCTCCAGTCGGGAGGAATGGAGTATGCTGACTTGGTGGGTCAACAGGGCTGTTTGTGTTGGGACAGGGTCTCACCAAGACTGCGACGGGCTTGATCGCGTGTCGGTTCTTCATGGGGATGTGTGAGGCAGGCTTTGTTCCTGGTTCGTTCATACTATGCCAAGCTAGCGGTGATGCATGAAGGCTAATCTGACCTTTCAATGCCAGGCTGCGCATACCTGATCGGAAGCTACTACAAGCGGGACGAGTTCCTGCGTCGATACGCAATCTTCTTCAGTGCCAACATGGCGGCAGGAGCGTTCAATGGGGTAAGTATCTATCATGCTTACTTTCGACACATCTGTCTGACTGGCTCGTTAGCTTTTCTCAAGTCTCTTGACGCACTTGGAGTTGGACGGATATGCGGGATGGAGATGGTATGGATCCCTCGACCTCGGCGGGCATTAGGGTTTTCTGACGCGAGAATAGGCTGTTCCTGATCGAATCAATCATCACCATGGGCGTCAGCATTATTTGCTATTGGATCGTTGTTCCCTTTCCCGAGGACGCGACATTCTTGACCCCTGCGGAGAAGGAACTGCTGCTTGCCCGTCTGGAAGCCGATGGAGGAAGCATTCGTGATGATCCTATCTCTCTCCCTCGGGTCCTGAAGATGGCGATGGACTGGAAGATCTGGATCTGGTGAGCATGTCTGTTACGTCTAATGAGTCGAACTATGCACTGACACGGAGACCAGTGTTTTGGCCTACTTGGCCGCCGAAGAAAGTGCCAGCTCGTTGGTGTACTTCCAGCCCACCATCCTCAAGGACCTCGGCTGGACCAGTCGCTCAGCGCAAGAGCACAGCATCCCTGTCTATGCAGTCGCCTTCGTGCTTACCTTGTCAAGCGCGTGGCTGAGTGACTATCTCCGCCACCGCTATCTCTTCACGCTGTTCGGCTCGGCGCTGGTCATAATCGGCTGGAGTATCGAGCTTGCGCAGGTCCCCTCTGCTGGAGTCCGTTATATGGGCATGTTCTTCGTGGCATCAGGCGCGTTCATCATGATGTCTATCACCGTGGTGTGGTTGTGCATCAACCTCGGCAGAGGCGTCAAGCGCAGCGTCGGGATGGGCTTGCTGCCCGCGTTCGGTAACTGTGGTGCCTTCGTATCCGGCAACGTCTTCATCACCAGCGAAGCGCCCAAGTACCCTACTGGCTTTGGGGTTGGTCTGGCATTCGCAGTGGTGGCAGGACTGGCCTGCACCGTGTATTTCTTCGCTCTCCGCGCCGAGAATCGCCGCCGGGAAAGTCAGCCGGAGAAGGACTGGCAGTCGGAGAGCATGCAGGATCTGGGCGATGCTCATCCCGACTTTCGTTTCCAGTTGTGAGGCCCATGTGTTGGCGAATATTTATGCTTCATTTAACCTTTGATATGAAATGAATTCTTGCCTCTTTGCCCTTTCGTCCTGTAAGAATGTTTCAACCATGCGCCGATCGACTTGTTTGGCGGCGTTAGGGTAGCTCATACCAACCCTGCTTTGCTATCGGGTCAACTCGTCGCAGAGATCCAAGTCCTTCACCATGCCAAATGCGCCCGCCTATGCGAAATCTTCACCTGGGTAAACTTCCGATAATGTTTAATGGTCGGGCTGAGACGGACCATGGAACCTCGCGGCATCCATGACGTCGGAAGCCAAGCCCCAACTTCACCAATTCTCTTCTCCACATTTTTGCCTCCCCTGCATTCCCCATACCTCATTCTTGCAGAACTCCAACTCAGCTTCAATCCCTTCAATTCTAGACGAATCCCTTGTCTCGTCGCGCTGGACCGCAATGCTGACCGCTGCCTACTCCAATGATCCCGGTCCACGATCAATATCTGCGCACCATCAGCTTGGTGACGCAGATCCTGTGCTGCTGCATCACCACCCTCTGCCTGGCCCTGCGCCTGCTGGTTGCTTCCCGGATCAAGCGAGATTTGAATATTGAGGACGGTTTGTGACATCTCTTTTTCTGGCCGTCTACCAAATCTAATGATTGTATACCAGCATTCTGCACTCTATCCTGGGTACACTCCCACTACCCGCCGCCCGTTGGCTGCTCTCCTCTAACATTGTGCTTCAGGTCCTGTTCTTCACCTATTGCATCTGCAACATCTTCTGTAAGTCTCCAATTCACTGCCGCTATAGAGTCCTGTCCACTAGCTAAACTACCCGCAGACCTCCATTATGGCGGCGGCAAACCCCTTGCCCTGCTGACCCCCTACCAGATCCGACTCGTCTACAAGGCAAGCACCGTGACCAGGGCCACCCCATGCCCAAATGCTCCTCCACTGACACTCGTCCGCAGTTCTACTATGTTCTAACCGTAATCTACGCCCCGATGGTCCTCACCGTCAAGATCACCCTGCTCTCCATCCTAGCGCGCATCTTCACCATCCGCAACGTGCAAGTTATCAGCGTGTACTCGGTGCTCGTGGTGACGGTGGTCTACTACACGATCATCTTCTTCATCAAGGTCTTCATCTGCCTGCCGGTCTCGTACTTCTGGACTCACTACGACGAGGAAGCGCAGTGCCTGGATAAAGCAGCCGTGATCCTCGCCGACGCGGTGATGAGCATCGCCACGGATCTGGCCATCATGCTGCTCCCGGCCTTCCTGACCATCTCGCTGCACCTCTCGCACATCAAGAAGCTCAAGGTGTCGCTGATGATGGGCTGCGGTGGGCTGGCGATCGGGTTCAGTATCTACCGCCTCGTGCTGGTCATCCACGAGGAGGATAACCTGGAGTCAACCATCGTATACTTGAAGATTTTGCTGTCGGGGTAGGTGTTCCTGCCTTGTACCACCCGGTTGGGGTTGAGCTAATGCCAAGCAGTAATGCGGAAGGCGGATTTGCCCTCATCTGCTCGTGTATCCCCGCGATCCATATCCTGATCACTCGACGCGGAGGCCGCGACACGCAGCGCTCCAGTACATCCTCCCACCAGCTCTTCCGACACTCCTTTCCCCCCTCGTTCCCCTTCCATCGGAGTCCCGCCAGCCCCCCGTTCGCCGAGTCCCAGCAGGCCCGCATGACATCCACCGCGCAGCGCGCATCGCTGGTGGTCCCCGAGCTAAACGATCTAGAAATTGGCGAGGAGGGCGCGTCGGACGCGAACCAGATCATGCGGAAGGTACTGCTCTCGCGCCGGTCGGAGAGAGTGGAAGTGCCGGTGCTGCAGGACTGCTCGCAGGAGTCCTCGGAGGCGCAGCTCGGCAACCAATTCGGAGCAGTTTGACGACATCGATTGCACCAGGCTAAGCCATGATGAAGTTGCATCGATATACGTGCCGCGCATTTGGCCATCGCTGCCGCGCGATATATACAGGCGCCTGTCGACAATGCCGGACATCAATGCCGGGGGGAGGCGGCATCCCTCCAAGTTCCGATCTTCGGCACTAAGCTATAATTCTTACGTCATTGCCGAGGTGAAGCGATACTTGCTGCCTGAGCCGTCAGGCACCGAGGGGGATTTAATTTAGAGGCAGTCACTCCGGGTCGAACTCTTGTCCATATTCATATTCATATCTCATTGTTGCCGGAGGACTTCAACCAGCGAGGTCCCGAGGGATTGATCCCGTGCAATTTAGTTATAGCCAACAATATCCAGGACCGTCCGATCTTGCCCCAGAACCACTCTCGCCTGGCCCTTGCGCGCACGCTCCTCCTCCGACAATCCCCGGAAGATGCCCTCGCGCACTTGATCCAGATACAGCTCGTAGGCCGGCATGTATCCCTTCACGAACGCGACGACCTCCTCATCCGTCATGCCCTGATTCTTCACCCGCCGCAGGGCATGTTCCTGCTGCATGCGCCAGCGGTAGACGTTGGCCAGATCGTCGGTGTCGAGATGCACCAGGAAGTCCAGGTGCTGGGGCCCCATGAACATGTCGCAGTAGTTCCGCAGGCTGGCGTTGATAGTGTAGTAGCTGGACAGCTCGTGGTTCTGCAGGGTTTGCGTGGGGAACCCGGACTCCGAGTCCGCCCCCGACTCGGGGGATTGCGCCTTGGCCGCCGTCCACTTGGCCTCGATGGCCTGCTCACTCAGGGGCTGGAAGCCCACGCACCACCCCTCCAGCACCAGCACGTCCACCGGCGAGTCCAGCGAGACGGGGACGCGGCGCCACTCGTCGCGGGGCACGCGGTCGCCCTCGCCGTGGAAGCGGCTCTTGTCGAACTCGGGGATGCAGACCACTCGCGGCGACGTTTCGGTAGTCACGGTCAAGCTGTCGAAGAACTCGCGGACCAGCGCGGTGTCGTGGGTGCCGGGCTGGCCGCGCATCTTGAGCAGGGCATTGGCCGGGTTAGACTGGCGCAGGCGCACCAGGCCCTCGTGCGGCAGGTAGAAGTCGTCGAGGGAGACGTTGATGGTGCGGAAGTGGTGTTGTTCGTTCAGCGACCGCACAAGGGCGGAGGTCCAGGTGGTCTTGCCGCTGCCCTGCAGACCGGTCAAGGCCAGGATGAAGGGCTTCCGCTGGCTGGGGTCTGCAGCCTGCTGGTCGACATGGCGTTGGATGTGGGGGCGGACGTGGGCCAAGAGGCGATCGATGGTCTCGTCGGGGATCATTGTGGGCGATGGAGATGAAGAGTCTGGGGTTGCGAGTGCGGAGAGGAGGGAAAGAAGGAAGGTGATTCTATATGTATAAAGCAACGGACAAGAATTCCAGACACACACTCCACCAGCCAAGGCGATGAGTATTGATGAAATGCGATCGATGGTAGTTGTTTCTTGTTCCTTGTTCCTTGTTCCTTGTTCCTCGATGCTCTCTGGCTGTGGCTGGGATAATCACGTGAGTGAAGAGATGGGAGGGGAGGGGAGATGAGTCAGCATTTAACACGGTTTAGCAGCGGAGGAGTTTTGCTCCGGCCCGATCGCGGAGGTTTCTTTGTCCGGTTTGTGTTTGTTGTCACTATCACCAGATCACTCACACATTGAAATCGCCATGCAGCAACCATGGTCCATCCGCCACACTCCAGCCTTCGTTCATCGAGAATGGGTCACACAAGGGGACGGCAGTCGCCGAGTCCGGGCCCAGACCCAGCCCGCCCATACCGTAGGAAAATCCGGAGCCGGCCAGATCGCCAAACACCATACTAGCGGCATTGTAGAGATCAGGAGTGGAGAGCACGGCAGTAGGATCGAATGAGGGTGGCGGCGGCATCGGAAGATTGTCCCAGGCTTCGGGGGCCATGCTGCTGGGCCGGGGTGAGGAATCTTCCCCGCGGAGTCCGATCGGATCTTCGGCAATGCGGATAGCATCGGGACGGTCGCCGGTCCTATGATTACTCGTACTATGCATACTCTCCGCTTGCGGCACCCATAAGTCACTGCCGGTCCGATTGTGGTGACTGTTGTTGTTTTTGTTGTTCTTCTCCAGAGCAGAGCACAGATCCTCAATGGCTTGAATGCAGGTCTGCGGCCACTCGCGTTCCCGACGGGCGATGTTCTGGAGCACAGCGATCCCGATACGCGCATAGCGGAGAGCTCCCTCATTAGAGAAGTGGCGAGTCCAGGCGGCGTAGATCAGGATCAGACACGACATCCACACCGTCCAGGTGAAGGAGGCGACGATCAGCGGAGGACGGTCGTCGCCGGGTGGAGCCGTGATGTAGCCATGCAAGGCGGCCAGCAACGAACGGGAGGAATTGATGCAAGTGAGAAAGGCCGCTTTGTAATCGGCGGTGGTCGGATTGTCGGCGGCCAGCAACGGGCGGTGCAGCGCAATCTTGGCCTCGTGGCGCGAAACCACCAGCAGGAGGGAATGGAAGGGCTGCAACGGGGAAGATGCCTCAGCCGGCTCTCCGTCGCATGCCAGCGGATAGACATCATCGTACACCTCATTCCACCACTGCAGAAGAGCCCGATCAACCTCCGCTGCCTCCACCAGATTCTCCCGGCTGTGCATAATGGATTTGTTGCGTAGCTCCGAGATCAGCCCCCGGAGACGAGCGAACTTGGCCAGATGGCGCAGTAGCTTGAGCCGCTGGTCGTCCGGCGTCGTCACCATCATCCCTTCTCCACCGTTGTCCGGCGTATGTCGTTCCGCTCCGGGATAGCATACATCCAGGTCGTCATCCCGGATGCTAAGGGGCACCCCAAGGGCTTGATTCAAGTATCGCTCGAGACAGTAGATCGACCAGAACAGCCGACGACGGATCATCACATCTTCCTGGCTGAAGCACGAATACCGCGCCGGACAGCGATGCAGACCCAGATGGAACGCGGTGCGGGTCACAAAGCCTCCAATCCGCGACGCTGCATTGAGGCGTAGAATCGATGTCAGAAACAACTGGATACTGACGGCTGCCTGCAACAAGGGGATGGACGAGGGCTCATCTAGCAAATCGCGTAGACCATTCATGGCGTCGTGCACCGTCTGGAAGACCAGCTCAGCCGGCATAGCCACCGGTGCGGCTGATGCTCCCCCCTGTGCCTGTCGGTTGTCAATCGCGGCGATGGACATAACGGAGCGGATGAGCACGGCATCCGTCCGGCTGATGGACCGAATCCCTTCTTGGCTTGTCTGCTCCAGGGCACGAAGGAGATGGGGAGCATGGACAAAGGGGTGAATGGGGTGCCAGTTCTGGAAATATTGATGCGACAGTTGCACTAATTGGTCGAATGAGAGTCTGGGGTTGGTCAGATCGAGCTCATCAGTCGACCACAAGGGGGCGTGGGCCTGGCCTTGACCGGTGCGGAGGTGGTCATCCTCCCCGGGCACCAGGCTCTCATGGCCGGCACGAACCTGCTGCTGCTGCAGGTCGGCGGAGCGGCGAGCAAAGGCGTGATAGACAGTGCGGACAAAGTGAATGCCACTCGAACTCCCGAGAAAGCTAGCGGAAGTATCATCCTTACGCATGATGCCAAGCTCGCGGGGAGAGGGCCGCGAGGTCCCCGTCGTCGAGGCCCGCTTGCGCCTCTTGGCCCGAGGGGCCGGCGTCGGCCAGTTGCCTTCCACATCGGATGGCGTAGTCGTGGCTGTCGTGGCAGCAGCAGCAGCAGCAGCAGCAGCAGCAGTAGCAGCAGTGGGGGATGCAGGCTTCATGCTGATCGGAAATGATGGACGGAGCGCATTAAAGTCGGTCGGGGAAAGATTAATTAACCGACTAACAAGAAGCCAGGAAGCATGTAACTAGTGTGGTCTAATAGAAATCGGGGAAAGACAAGTTTTCCCCAACCATTGCAATCGGCATGCTTAGTGAATGCAAGACTACGGCCGGGCACAAGACCCAGATCCGTACCTAGGTATGTACTCCGAAGTTAGTCACTTGACTCTACGTAAGGGGCCCAGAACTGGAACCCTGTTCAGGGAGGAAGGAGGAAATGAAATGGAAAATGGAAAATGGAAAATGGGAAACCTCACGTGAGCATCTGAAATGGGATGAGAGAATTGACACCTGACCCAATTGACCTGTAACAGTAGAGTTAGAGCCAAACAGGATATTCGGTGTAGTCCTGCCAAGTATGGCCCAACCCTAACTAACTTAAGACCGCAAAACCCACCCCACGGAGGTGTTCAACTCCGCCCTCCACAAAATTCCCACCCGGTCGTGGAAATGGCCTCAACCCGGTTTCACATTATTAATACTTCGGTCACCCTTCCCTCTGACCTACTCAGATGGACGCCAGATTGATATCGAAAGTCTAATTTGATTAACGCAAGACTGGAAGAGTTCAGCGGGCGCAGCTTTCATTCGTGCCATACACACGTACCCATCCCCATCCCCCACAATCATCCTCATATGTACATACTCAAGAATCCCAATGCCAAAAAAAAAAAAGCCAATATACACAGAAGAGCATAGGGTTCATTGCTATGTCTATCATAAAACGCGTCGAAGTCAATGGTCCGTTGCTCTTAGACGTGTTCCTTCTGTTCGAAAGATCCTTCCGATTGCTCCTTCTCGTGCTTGTCGTGCTGGTAGAGCTCGGCTTCGGTCACCTCACCTTGAGGCAACCTGCGGGCCATGGACACGATCTTCCACGGGGTGGGCGCATCGCGGAAGGCATGGTCGAGCAGTTCTAGATTGCGGTTCATGGTCTCCGGGTAGAACAGCGCCACCGAGATGGGGATGCAGGCGGAGATGATCGCATACATCACGTAGTAGCGATAGCCGATGGTGTCCAACGCCACGGGGGTCACCATCACCACCACAAAGTTCCACAACCAGTGGTTGGCGGTGGACACCGCGCTCATCGCCGTCCGCAGGTGGATGGGCGCCACCTCCGTGCAGTACAGGAAGTTTCCGCCCAGGAAGCCGATCGGGTAGAACAGGTTGAAGAGGAAGATGAAGGTCGCCGACGCAATCGAGGCCCCCTGATTCGTAGAGGGAAAACTAGCGGTGATGGCCATCACCGTCATGCAAACACACATGCCCGTGCCGCTGATGATAAAGACCGTCCGACGGCCCAGTCGGTCAATGCAATAGAATGCAATAAAGCAGCAGAGGAACTTCCAGGTCAGGGCGCACGCCGCCAGGATCTTGGCCAGGTTGGCGCTCATGTTGAGATTCTCCTCGAAGATGGTCGAGGCATACACGGAGATCAGATTGCCACCGCACATCTGCTGGAAAAACTGCAGGAAGAAGCAGAGGAGGAAGCGGTACAGGAGGCGATCCGGATCCTCGCCGCGATTGAAGAGGATACCCAGCAGCGAAACCTTCTTGACGGTCGTTTCCAGCGAAGACTGCACACCGCTGATCTCCGCAGCGATTGCCTCGTCGTCTGGGTCGATACCCTTGTAGGCAGCCAAGGAGGCGGTGGCCTCGCTGACCCGATTGACGCTGACCAGCCACCGAGGGGATTCGGGGAGGAAGAACACACTGCCCGCCACCATCAACGAGGGGATGAACGAGAGCGCCAGGGGAATGCGCCATTGCAGGGTCGAGTAGGGGAGGAAGGTGAAGGCGAAGTCGATCCAGTTGCAGAGGGCATACCCCAGACACATGAAGACTCCCGTCAGAATGACATGCTGCCCACGATTCTTCGCCTCCGAGCATTCCGCCAGCCACACGGGGACCGCGACACTGAACTGGCCCACCCCAGCACCCAGAATGAGGCGGCCGATGACAAATTGCACCAGCTGATAAGCTGACACCTGCAAGACCTGTCCGATGATCGACAGAATGGAACCCAAGAATACGGTCTTGCGCCGCCCGAGCCGATCGCCAATAAACATGCAAGAGAAGGCCCCAATGAGCGCTCCGATCTGGAAGGAAGCAACCACCGCCCCCTTGCTGGTCGAGTTTTGTGACTTTTGCTCTCCAACAGTGTTGACGGTGTCGATCGAAGGAAAAGTGTGCACCCAGCTCTGGAGGGTGGCAAGGGGTCCCAGGCCAGACTGATTGTAACCAAAACAAACAAAGGCCGGAGCCACAATAAGAGCAATCTGGGCCAAGTGTAGGGTCCTTCCGGTGAGGCCCCGGGCCGGCACCCGAGACTGGGCCATGGTAGCGAGAATGTGAGGTGAAGAGAGATGGGAGGGACGGAGGGTAATAGGATGGCAGAAAAGTGAGGTGCAGAAGGCGCAAGAAAGGACAAGGCAGGTGGTGAGCACATCTTTATAGTTCCCCAAACCACGACCCCAATTTATGCCCAGCCGGGGGATTTCCAATCTCTGCTCCAGACTCCCGCGCTGGGGCCCCGCATGAGACCAGAGAAGATTCGAATCCTGGCAAATTGGGATTCTCGATGAGCTGGGGTGCGTTGGGGTGGTGCTTTGGAGTGGTGTACCCATGTGGGTGTACGTGGGTCGCGAACCGTCCGGGGGGCAAAATGGGGGGTAGAGGGTGGATTCCCGGCATTCGCATTTGGTAAAGGCGCGGTAGACGAGGAAACGCGGAGCAATCAGGCCATACAGCCTCATGCAGAGTGATACTAATGCCATGCACCAGTTGGCGCTGGGCTTACGGGTCTACGAGGTCATGCCACACCGTCAGTCACCTCGTATGCCCTTGCAGAGAAGCGTGGGATGGGAGTAGGAGGCAAGAATGGTGTGTGTCGTTCCTCGCTTAGAAAAGCCAAGCGGACAAGGAGGACAAGCTTTGCCCTGAAAGTGCTTTGCACACGTGGAATTGTCTTGGGTGCTACTGATCATCCCTCCCTCCAGTCGCCCAGCATCCAACTCGACCATCTACACGTCATGATCACGGATATAGGTTCATCCACCAGGAGGATGACAACGAATTCGACATGCATGCATGCCAGAGGGGGAACAAGCGAGGGTCTATAAGGAGATAAGAACCTCCATCTGGCCCGCGGAGACGACCTTCACGAGGCTCGCGAGGAGATATTCAAGGCCGGGTTCAGGAAGGGTAGTTAGGGAAAGTGTGGTGTGGTTGTGGTGGTTGTGGTGAGGATTGGTCGGGATGCCGGACTGAAACCACATGCCCCCACTTGAGCGCTTTACGGGCAGCTTGGCAATTCATGGGGGGCATCGGAACTTCCCCGAGCCGGACCAATTTACCCCCGGCTTGCTTGGCCGTAAGAACAATGACGAAGAAAGAATCTTGGTCCGGCCGGGCGGACTTTGCCAGCCCGATATCCTCCTGATGCCTAAGGCAGCAAGCAACCCAGCCAAGGCAGCACTTATGTTCATAGCCTGAGGCAGGACAAGTGCCAGTCTTCGCGGTGAATCTCTAATCCGTTTTCCGGCCTTTTCCCCGGTTTTTCCTCTTGTTCTTCTTTGAGAATGTCCGCTGCCCATCCCTACCTTCTCATTGGTCTCTCCCAGAGCTTGACTTTGCGCACTGCGGGCACCTCCTGGCTGGCATGTCCCTTCGGGTGCTACGTTCGGTAGGGCGGGTTGCTTCTAGTTCGCTCAAGTATACTAGCTAGCCATGCATCGTCACAAGTAATTCCCGCGAATAAATGCCTTACCTAGTTGACAAGTTGTCGGCCATAGGTTCTTCTGTCATGGAAATTGACACCTAACCTCAATCCGGTTTTCAGGTTTCGTAATGCCTTCAGCTTCCTCCGATATGATGGAATCTCCCGGGCCGAGGGTCTCCCATCCGATTATCGGCACTTTCTTCGGGATGAGGCCCTGGCTACATTTAAGATAGGCAATCTGCTCCTAACACAGGGTATGAATATGTAATTGTCACTGACAGACTGGCCAAGATCATCTGAAAACACACATCCTTATTGTTGAACCCTGATTTTCTTTCCCTGCAAGCCATGGCGCCGTCAATCCACAACGAGGACTTCGCCTCCTCGGTCCAGACTGTACAGTCTAGCCGCTTCGATGGCCCTTCGTGCAAGATTGGAATCAACGGCTTCGGTCGTATAGGTAAGCTCGCACTTCAGTCTAATGTAGAACCCTGACCAACTCAACCCTTTCCCTAGGCCGGAATGTGCTACGTGCATCCTTGACTCGCTCCGACCTCGAGGTCGTGGCTATCAACCACACCTGCAACTCGATCAAGGACCTTATCTACCTGATCCGCTACGACGGCACGATGGGTCGGATGGACCCCCACAAGGAGATCGTCGCCGTTAGCGAGAGTCTGATCACCATCGGTGGCCAACCCATCCGGTTGATCTCCGAGCGTGACCCCCGCCTGATCAACTGGCGCGAGTTGGGCGCCGACTATGTGGTTGAGAGTACCGGCAAATTCACCAAGCGGGACTTGGCCTTGCAACATGTCACCCACGGCCAGGCCAAGCGCGTCATCATCTCTGCCCCCAGTTCCGACTCGCCTACATATGTCTATGGTGTCAACTCGGACGCATACCGCCCAGACGACAGCAACCAGGTCATCTCCTGTGCGAGTTGTACGACCAACTGCGTCACCCCCGTGCTCAAGGTGCTGAACCAGCAGTTCGGACTGGAGCAGGGCTTCCTGACCACCATTCACGCGGCCACGCAGTCCCAGCAGGTCTTGGACGGCTACAGCAAGAAGAACCCCCGTCTGGGTCGCACGGTATTTGATAACATCATCCCCACCACCACGGGTGCTGCCAAGGCCATTGCCACTGTTCTCCCGGAGCTGCAAGGCAAGGTGACTGGTATCTCAGTCCGCGTTCCGACGTAAGTCATCCTCTCTTCGCTTGCTTCGCTTGTCGTGAAATTCATGATGGAGGAATGACACTGACATGTCGACTTTCCCTTAGACCCGACGTTTCCCTGATCGATTTGACCATCAACACTGCCCAACCGACCTCCCTGGCGGAGATCCTGGCGGCATTCCGACGGGCGGCCAAGACCGACCTGGCCGGAGTGCTGAGCGTCAGCGATGAACAGCTGGTCAGCAGCGACTACAAGGGCGAGTGCTGTTCGGCAGTCATTGATGCGGCCGCTTGCAACGAGCTCAACCCGCAGTTCTTCAAGATCATCGCCTGGTATGACAACGAATGGGGCTACTCCAACCGTCTGCTCGACCTGGCCGTTTTGGTCCACAGCCAAGAGGAAGCTTGAAGGACACCCTCTGTTTGTCCCTTTCCCCTCCGCGAACCATCTGACTGGTCCGGACTTGCTCAAACTTGGTTACTCGGGATTCGATCCGGCATCGGTCCCAAGTAGCTTGCAAATGACAGGCGCCCGCCCGTGCGAACTTGCCAACCAGCCTGCGACTCCCGCCTTGGCTCGGCCCTGATACTGAGTACCACCGCACGGCTTTCCGTGCCACTACGCCATTGATGACCTAAACACCTTCGATGTAGCCCTAATTCACCCGCTCCCCAACCAGCAAGTTTACTTTATTTATATAGAGATCGTCGTTAGTGAGAATCAGTCTATAGATTCATATACCAATGCAGACAACCGCAGTGATACCATCTCCTCCTGGTCTCTTCGTTCTGGGTAGAAATGGTGGCGACTCAGTGTAGATTCCTTGCCACCTCCCTCACTCATACTTTCCTGACAGACACAGACCCATCCGGTCGGAAGTCTCTTATGCATAAGTTCACATTCAGAGAGGACTGATCGAGGTATCCGCCGGCGCATTGCCCGGATTGAGAAAACACGCCACCACTTATCGATCGACTGCACTGCTGCACGATGGATTGAACTAGGGTGTTAGTTCTGCGCTCAGGCACTTGAGCTGAACGCCACGGAAAAGTTTTTTTCTTCTGCTGGGTCAACTGAACACCCCTGCAAACGGAAATATATCTTTCTGACATGTCGAGAACCGTCTCCTTCGGTTCTTGACCAAGGAACTTAGCATGAGCGCTATGCAGCCCTGCACGTGGGAGAGAGCTTGACCATGGCTAGAGAGGTTTGGAATGAACTGGGAAGAAGGAATTCTGGCCGACTGCGGTGGGTGGTGGGGGCCCTCCGTGCTTTTCCGACCAGGCGAAAGGTGACAGACACGTGCACAAATCAGAGGGAATCTGTCTATCTATCTTATCTCTCCCAGTTCGGTTTCGATATTACCTTGGGGCCGGGTATTGATAGCTGTGCAAGAGATATATGTTTTTCCATCCATGTTGGAAAAATCCAATGTTTCGATGCATGCCACCAAACATCATGCAGAGCAAGGGCTTTCAAGACGAAATTTCTGATCGGATGGTGAGGGCGCAGGCAAGGCAAGCATGTCATGCATTCTGCGTCTGCTCAAAGAAATCCAAGAAATGTTGGCCCAGTCACTGGCAGACGCATTTGCACGTGGGAGGAAGAGCAAGGGTTGGATTGGTGGAGGCGCAAATCCGACTCCACTGAGGGGTCTTGCGGGGAGATTGCCAGGGGATGTTGATTGGCAGTGGGCAATGAGCTTGGTACGGGTCGGCGAGGCCGAGCCACTCCCCAACCTTTGCAGGTACTGGACAGGTACTCAATACCCCCAACCATTACTGCTATCACATGCTAAATTATGTACCTGCTACTTGTCACCTTTTTACTTTTTTTTTTGTTTTGTTTTTGTGTTTTTGTTTTTTGCCCTGCCGTGCAACAAAAGGATCCTACCTAATACCTAATCAGTCTATCATGCATTCACTGGTGAACAAATGACATGAACTAACTTGTCGGAGAGGGCTGATTCCCACCTGCAGGGAAATAAAACCTGTCCCTGCCCACCTTCTTTTCTCTTTCTCGTGTTTTTTCCGCAGCGCACCTTCGGTTCTTACCCTTTGACCGTCAGTCAGGCAGCTACAACTGCAGATCTTCTTCTGCTCTGTTACCTCGGAGTAACTGCCTCTCCCTTTCCCCTCCCCCCCAAAGGCACAATCATCATGGATCCGAAAGAAGAGAAGCAGACGGACATGACGGTGTCCCCTGACACCCATCGCTCCATCGATGAGGATCCTTTAGCTGCTACCCAGAAGACCTTCTGGGAGCGCAGTTGGCCCACCTTTGCTTGTGGTGCTGGTCTCTGGTCCGACGGCTACCTGCAATACGTGAGTCGATCACATAACAACGATCCCCCCCGACCCTCGTTTGTCACCTAACATTCGACTTCACCATGTATTAGGTCATCGGAACGGTCAACACGATGCTAGATAAGCTCTACCCCGACGTCTACGCGGGATCGACCTACAGTCAGAACGTCTCCTCGATCGCCTTTGCCGGCACGGTGGTGGGAATGCTGGTCTTCGGCTACATGTCCGACCACTGGTCGCGCACCAACACCCTGATGGTCTCTACCGTGATTCTTTTCGTGTTCGGCGCACTGTGTGCTGGCGCCTATGGAGCGAACGGCAGTCTGACTGGCATGTTCACCGCATTGACAGTCTATCGTTTCTTTCTGGGATTGGGTGTGGGCGGCGAATATCCGGCCGGGTCAGTAGCCGCCGCAGAGAGCAGTGGAGAGATGAAAAAGGGCCAGCGCCATCGGTGGTTTATTTTGTTCACCAACTTTCAGCTCGATTTGGCTTCGGTCGCCTCCTCGCTGGTGCCCATGATTGTCGTGCTGGCCTGTGGCGAGAACCACCTCCGCGCCGCCTGGCGCATCTGTCTGGGCCTTGGAGTCATCCCCCCGCTCAGTCTGATCTACTTGCGGATGAAGCTCAAGGAGCCCACCGAGTATACGCGCGAGAAGATGCACAAATTCCCCATCTGGTTGATTGTGAAGTAAGTTCCCACGTCTGTACACGGCTGTTAATGCGATGCTCACCCATTGGATCAGATTCTACTGGAAGCGCTGGGTAAGCCTTACATGCGCCTCGCGCATTGACCGCGAGCACAACTAACAGTCAATCTCATCCAGTGTGCGGTTTCCCTCATTTGGTTCATGTACGATTTCTCGACCTACTCCTTCAGTATCTACTCCTCCCAATGGCTGTCTTTGATCATCGGCGACGACGCCCCCCTCTGGGTCACCCTCGGCTGGAACACGGTGATCAACGTCTTCTACCTGCCCGGCTCGGCTCTGGGCGCATTCCTGAGCGACTGGTATGGGCCTCGCAACACCCTGGCTGGCGGTGTCTTCGTACAAGGCGTGATCGGCCTGATCATGACGGGCTGCTACCCGTACCTGGACACCAGCCATTACGTCGCCGCCTTCGTCGTCGTCTACGGGTAAGTTGCATTGCATTTCCACCCCACTTGGTACATTTACACTAACACGGTGGGCCTCCAGAATCTTCCTCGCCATGGGCGAAGTCGGCCCCGGCGACAACATCGGTCTCTGCGCGGCCAAGACCTGCGCCACCCCGATCCGCGGCCAGTACTACGGCACGGCTGCCGCCATGGGCAAGGTCGGCGCCTTCGTGGGCACCTACGTCTTCCCCATCATCGTCCGAAACGCCCCCAACAAGACTCGCCAAGGGCAAGACCCGTTCTACGTGTCTAGTGCGCTGTGCATCTTCAGCGCCTTCTTGGCGTACTTCTGTCTGCCGAATATCACTCAGGTGCGTCTCTCATGATTATGTAGCTCTTGACACCGGAGACTAACGGGCTGTAGGACACGATCACCCATGAGGATGTGCGGTTCCGGGAGTATCTGGAGTCGAAGGGCTACGATACTTCGACGATGGGGTTGTCGAGTGCGGAATCGGAGTGATCGATGCGAGGAGCTAATGTTGCATCACTGCGTTTCTAGAAGGCGGAGTTTTGTTGCGACTGTCTTACGTACTGATGTGATTATGGCTATAATACATATTGTCTAATGAAGTTATGAGGGTCTGTGAAACCCTCTCAGAGCCAAGTCCTCAGGTCGCAGGTGATCTTCTCTTAGAACCTGCAGCATCAACTCTGCAGGCGACAAGCGCATTAGGGAAATCACGCACATGGGACGGCTGCATAGATCCCGGGAACTGTGAGTCCATCGAGGATTATCTTGATAAATCTCTCTCTTTTTCTAGTGCACTGGTCCATGTCCACACATACGGAACGTTTGCCATGCTTCGTTCGTTGCCTCTACCACTTTGCCCACATCCAACCCCACCCGATCCCCCAATCCCGCGATTTTTCACCGCAAGGTCACGCATGCAGCCAGAGGCTGACACACGTAGATGACAGTATACAGCCAGTACGAGAACCGATCACTCGTCAGCGACCGGAAGGCGAACAGCCGAAAGATGCACCCGATCGTCATCAGCCCCAGCGCCACCGCCGTCGCAACAGTGGAAGTGTCGCATCGATACTCCAAGATCCGATGGTAGATCAACAAGTACTGCGTTATCGACTGAAATCAGCCCCTACTCCTCCCATACGCCAGGGGAAAGGTCAAGGACAACTCACCTGCGACACCACAATGCCCACCGAGATATACACCCGCGCTGCACTATGCTCAGCACCGAAGCACCTTGACACACAAAACTAACGATATACTAGGGGTAAAGGAAGAACTCACCCGCAAAATCCCCCAGCAAAATGGGCGTCGTGCGTCGGCCCGCCGCCAAATCCCCAGGAACATCGCGCAGATCCTGCAACGGAATCGGCCACAGCATGTAGAGAGCAATCACCTTGGTCCAGTACCACCCCATGGCCGCGGGCGCCCCACCGATCGTCCACGCCGCCTTCAACTGCGCGATACACCCCAGACCCATGCACAGATCCTTCGTGGGCCCGAAGTTCGAGAACCCTAAAGGGTTGTGCGCGATCGTGGTGCCGATCCACAGAAGTGTCCAGATAGTCACACCAAGGTAGTGTCCCAGGACGAGATACAAGGCAGTAAGAAGCCAGTAGCGGGTCTTTGCTGCGGAGAGGGATTCCACCCCCGAGGCGATGGGACGGTCGGGCTTGTTGACGCGGTCTTCGCGGACGCCGGTGATTTGGTTGGAGACGACGAAGGTGTAGAGGTAGAGGAAGCCGAAGAGGAAGGCGTCTTTGCTCATTGGGGATGGATTAGCTTGGAACGGGTGAGAAAGGGGGGGGAAATCGTACGGGCGATGGCTGGAGCTATCTCTGCGCGTGGTGCGCGACGGTACAGGAGCGAGGCCAGGGTGAATAACGGCACCGGGAGGAGGCCGGTCCCTAGATCCCTCCGCACGAAGCCGTAGCAGAGGCTAAGTTCGCGGGTGAGAAGACGTATCATTGTGGTTAATAGCTTTCCTTGTTGGATAGGGAAAGAGACGCAGATCCTTTCACCTCAATGGGACAACATTGCGGCTATATACGAACTAATCTCACGAGACTCGAGGTCAAAACCTGCCGGAAGCAGACCGGCACACGAGCAAGACTCTTCATACTTTTGAAGATATACAGCTAAGCATCCCTCGCCGTTCCACTGCCCTCAATCCGAGCCGGCCATTCGTCGCCAGGTTGTCGGGAGCCCGCGCTAACGACTCCTGCGATAAGAATGCGAATCCTGCACCCTGCGCGGCCGGTGAAGGATCAAAGGGCCCCATTTTGGGGAGCCACTGAGATGACAGATCGATGCCACGTTATCAGCAGATAGGCAGCCGTGTTAGTAGATGGGGGCCTCGGTGAATCCCAGGTGAAATTTTGACGGCGGATTAGATGCCTGATACGCGGTACAGGGGCATTTTCCGGTATGCGGTTCGGCGATTGACTCCAGGGCATTTCGGTTGAGTTCTGGCTATGCGTCTAATGTCGGGCCCATCCTATGCGCCGATTAGTCCGGTGCTATTCTGAGGAGAGTTAGAATGGAAATTGAATCCTCTGTGTGTGGGCAGAATGTCACGCGATGATCTTAGTGGTGAAAGTTATGCATGCATTTTCCGTGAAATGCGGCTCAAATGCAGTGATTATGGATACAGAAATGTCCCCTCCCAATCGAAGCAAGCATCGTATGGCCGACTGAACCTCCAAGGCTGTTGTGACAAGAATTTGCGCAAACCTGATTTTGCTGGCCTGTCTTGACCTTGCTTCAGGTTGCAGATTCGCCTACTGCTGGAACGGTGCATCTCAGTCGTTTATTACCGACAAGACCATCAGTGGATAGTCGTCCCTGGAGAATCCTTTCCATAGCATTCACTTGTCCACTGCACTTCTCACTGTTATCTACAGAATATCCCATCAGCTGGTGGCCCTTTCCCATCAGGAAGGGCGGCGTAGTCTAGTCAGGCGAGCCGACGGTCCAAGTGCAACCTCAGATCCTCAGATCCTTCCTTGGAGCTTAACCTTGTGTTCATCGTCCTCCTCATGCCCTCGTCAGGCTCGACCAGGCCCTCAGCGATGTGCTGGTCTCTCACCGCGTACCGCAGTCGATTCAGCTGGATCAACTGGAGATCCAGCTGTCGGTCTTCGTCGGTAAGCTCGACGGTCGGCGGCTCCTGCATGGCGCCATGAATCGCCGCCAGCCCGGCTTCCAGCAGTCGCTTCAGGTCCGTCAATATCTCCGCCTCGTCTTCCGTGCGCGGCGATGACCGTTTGAGACCCCACAGAAGCAGTTTCGCGTAGCTGTCCTCCATAGACTCCTGCCGGTAGGCGCTCTGCAGCTGCACGCGCCGGTGGTGCAGTGTGAGCCCAAGTTGGTAATCCTGGAGGACATGGACAGGGACCTTGGGGTGGGGCATATCGCCGATCGTGTCCTCTTTGACCGCAGGACTGCCGGAGACATTGGGGGCCCCGTGCTGTCCTTGCTCCTGCTGCTGCTGCTCCGCTAATCGAGCTAGAATCATCTGGCGCTGCCTCTCCAGCAAGACCTGCTGCAGCCGAAAGTCCTGAAGCTGAGACTGGAGTTGCGACATCCCGCAGGGGCCGTGCAGTGGATGTATCTGTTGTACTGGCTGTTGTGGCTGCGGTGATTGCTCTGATTCTTCTTGGTGTTGATCTTGCTGTTGTTGTGCCTGTCTCTCGGCCAGTCGACGCTCCGTCAACCGCCGACGATTCTCCGCCTCCAGTGCCATAAGCTGGGTCTGAAACGCACGCAGCTCTTTCGAGGATTGTGGTTGAGGTGGTCCTTGCGGATGCGATTGCGGCTGCGGCTGCGGCTGCGGCTGCGGCTGCGGCTGCGGCTGCTGCTGCTGTTGTTGTTGTTCTGCCTGTTGCTTCTCTTGTTCTGCCTGTTGCTGCTCCTGTCGTTGTGCCTTCCGCTCGATCATTCGACGCTCAATCGCCCGCCTACGCTCGTCCGGCTCCAGTGCCAAGAGCTGGGTCTGAAATGCCTGCAACTCTTCCAAGGATCGTGGTCGGGGCGGTCCTTGTTTCGGCTGCCATTGCGACTGGGGCTGTTGGGGCTGTTGGGGCTGTTGGGGCTGATTCTGCTGCAGATGCTCCGCTTGTCGGGCTAGCATTACTAGGCGCAGTTCTTCATGCAAAACCTGCTCCAGGGCTGGGTCTTGAACCGGTGGAGGCACACATGGACCGAACTTATGTTGTACCGGCCGCTGTGGCTGCGGTGATCGTCCTGACAGCTTTCGCGCCTGCCGCCGCACTTTTAATGCCTGCTGCTGTTTCTCCGCGAGAGCTAGACGCATCTGGCGCTGCCTCTCCAACAAGGCCTGCTGCATATGAAATTCCTGAATCGGAGACTGAAGCTGAGACAGCCCGGAGGGGCCGAGAAGTGGATATATCGGCAGCACTGGCTGTTGTAGCTGCGGTGACTGCTCTGATTCTTTGCGGTGTTGGTCGTGCGGCTGTTGCTGCTGCCGCGGAGGACTGTCGTCGAGGGACTGTAGTGGTGCTGGCCTTGATGAATGTTGTTCAGTATCGATTATCTCCTCTGTATCCTTTCTTTGATCATTGTGGATCCCCTGTTTCAGCTGTATCGGTAGTTGCTGCTGCTGCTGCTGCTGCTGCGCGTCGGCAGGGGGGACAGGGTCGGCTGTGCCCGCCGGATCATCATCTTCCCTCGAATGAGTCCCGGTGGCGGGAAATGCCATGGTTGATGTGTTTTGACGGTCAAAGAGGGAATGACGGTCAAGGGGGAAAGGCAGGACTTAAATAGACGGGCGGTACAGGAGGCGAAAGACTGTAGTAGTTCAGTTTATTGGTTGCAGTGAGAGCAAGAGAGGATTGAGATTTATTGCTTACTGAAATACACTGCAGGAGCCTGCGATAGTAGTCGCCGTTAGCGTTGTCCTCCTCTGCTCTACCAGTCGACCATATTGGCTGACCTTTTTGAGCTACTGCAGCTAATTGTACTAGGATGCGGGCCAGTTTCCTACTAGCTGGGCTGGAATATGGATGTTTTCCGAGATCGCTAGAAGATGTAGCTATACCCATGTACTGAGTATGAACCAAGAAGAAAAGAGACAAGAAAAGAAAGACAAAACTATATGATGCCATTCGATGGAGAATAGTGATATACAATGCGAAAGATTTAGGCTGGCGATTACTAATTATGAGAGCATAATATGTATAATTCAACTAAACTCATTAGGCAGAAGACTTACTAGTATATAACCACGGCCAGGTTACGGTATTGCCGATTCGCCGGCAGCGGCACGGCAAGACAAATACCACGGCCAGAATTCTGTATACAAGCTGAGGTAGAACAAGCTGAGATAAAAACAAGCAAGCCATTCGCACGGAATGGAGACGTCTATTTGGTGCACCTTGACGGGCGAGGATGAAGATGCGGCTACATGATGCGCGGTTAGTATCTCCCACTAGGAGCGGAGGTTGCCGGCGGGAGAAGAATAACCATCTTCGAAGGGTAGCTAGGTAGACAGGAAAAAAAGCGACCGTACCTAGGAGGCAATGATGAATGCCATGCCATGTACCGAAAGGGCCGATGGCTTCCCCGGATTGGTGAGGTGGAAAAGGTGAAAATGCGGGGGGAGCTTCCAGCCGGTTACGTAAGCCGGGAAGGATGAGATCATGACAGGAAGGTCGATGACTCCCTCGTGACCCGTCCATTGACAGGGAGACTATTGTCTCGTTGAATGCATTAATGCATCCGCAGAATGCGGGGTAGGAATCCCGTTTCACTGTACGCATATGTACGCATACATTCCACTCTCAGTAACAAAGGTCCCGTCCTGTCCGGGGAATGAGAAAACTGAGAAACGATCGACCACTAACCTGCCACCGTCAGCCGTATCTTGGCTGCCTGGACCCTTGCCCATAGGCGAATGCTTTCGTCCTGTGGGCCCCCCGATCGTCGAGAAAAGATCCATCTTCCAGACAAGTTGCCACTGACCACTGGCCACTGATGCGAGAGACTTCATCGCGTCATGCTTATGCGGGCTACTGAAGGCCCCCCCCCCCGCCTCCTGTCCCCCCATGGTCTCATCGAACTTTCAGTCACGCGAGCAAGCGGTCGGTGTCAGACACCACGACGGTCTGGTTTCAACCACCACGTGAACCGACATCTCTCATCCGTCCATGTTCCTGGGAACAGAGGCATGGCACTGTTCCTTGGCCATCTAAGAGGGGTGGATAGACTCGTGGACATCCCACAACGATGTAAAGCAGGTGTAACAAGGTGACAGGGAGCGAGTGAAGACGGCCAGCATCTAGCCAGGTCGGTGCATGCAAACGCGCCATTGAAGCCCGCGATACGAGTGTCGTGGCCGGTGGGCTCGCTCCTAGCCTCCAGACTGCTCCATTCCTCCTACTTGTCGACCTGCGAGAGACCCCGGCGTGCAGTCCCTTCCAGCGGTGGAGGTATCCTTATACTCCACGGATGATCGATAGACCACCCTCATCGTAGCTGTGAGGCACTCAGACCGAGCATTCAAGCCGTAGACAACATGTAGCACTTTATCAAGATTATGGTTACATTGTGTCTAACAGCCAGGGACCCAACGATGATCTCTGGGAGGGGAGATACTGGGAGAGGAGGGAGGGAGGGAAGACGGGAAGGGGAAAGCAAGCGATGCATCCAAACAATAAACAGAGTCAATGAATGGACGTCGAATAAATGAATGACGCGACCATCTTCATGCAGCCATGCGGTAACCCCGCAATTTCACGCAACTGCTAAACTCAATGCAGAGGGCACGACAAAGGCCGCTCTGCTTCTCCCCCAGATTCGCCTCGTTGAAAGTCAAAGCCAGACTGGATCCGAGGATCAGCCCACAGAAGAACCAACCAGGTCGTACCACCACCATCCGTCATATGATCGCTGACTCCCTTCTCCCACTGGCACAGAGAAGCACAGGGAGGGATCGCCTGTTTCGCATCGTCTGTTTGGCTGTTTGTCCTCTGCCTCGTCCACGGTAGAACAATGTCTCGTCACTCCCAGTGTTCCGGGCCAACATTTGCGGGCTTCCCCGTCCTCTCCCAAGTCTCAACGCTATATAACCCTCTTCCTTCCCTCACCCTCTCCAGGCCCATTTCTTTCTCTCCTCACAGCTTTCGAGGGCTTCTCCCTTCGTCCAACTACTCTACCACTCTCCAACCGTATCTCAACCAACTCACACACACTGACCATCATCATGGACTCAGCTACCATGGACAAGTACAACTCCCAATGGGTGCAGTTCCACATCCGGGACCACCTTGACAAGGGAGAGATCTCCGTCCGTCACACCGTCATCGAGGGGTTCGTCTTTGCTTTTCCTTATTCTATTCTTAGCAGCTAGCGGGATTCGTAACTAACGCTCCTCCAGCGGAGACTTCCACGACCCTGACTCCAACAAAGCCATGACCGAAGACGACGTCGACGAGCTCCGCATCCCCTCCTACGGCGTCGGCGAGATCTGTGCCCGCGGCCGCCGCGGCAGCGAAGGCCGCCTCGACCTCTTCCACGGCGAGGACAAGATCTGCGAGCTGCACTGGGACAACCGCCAGGGCAATTGGGTCAACCTCGTCGAGGTGCTGGACGGAAATGACAAGTACAGAGTCGAGCATGGGGGATGGAGCCCAGAGGCAGGACCTCTGGGCCATGTCTACGTGGACATTATGCAGCAACAGGCTGCACAGGCTGCTGCGGAGCAGCAGAAGAAGTAGTGCCACACAAGCATGGGTGGTGTTCTCCGGTGTTGTGTGTTTCTCGGGGTTTGTTGTCTTTTTTCTCTTTTTGTTGACTGTTTTTGAATCTACGATTCTGGGAACGTAGTCGGGCGGGACCTGTGGAGTGGGTGAGTTGATTTGAATCGTTGATATAACTGATAATATCCATATAGTGAGTGAGTGGGTGAGTGAGTTAGTAGGCTTTGCATGTATCACAGTGAGAACAATTGCAATCTGAACTTCTGTCTTCATCATCGAGCTGTTGGAAGGATGAGTAGACTCAATCGATGAGCTGATCCAGCCCTGAATCGGACCACCCGGAGGGCCAATCACCTGATCCCGCATGGACGACAGTAAGTGGGAATATCTTCACTGCAATGCGTTAGTTCAATCAGGCGATGTTAGTCGATGCTAGGCCCCCTTAGCCAACCTTAGTTCACCCTCATTAAGCCCGGTCGGGATAAGTGTTTCGGTGCACAAGTGGAGCTGGAGCGTTGTGTCCACGTATCCCAAGTTCCCGGCCATCACCCATCATGCAGCTCGCATCATCGCCGCCTGCGTTTCCGGTCTGGGCCACCAAATAAGCAAATATGCCAAGCAAAGGGATTTCAGTCTACAGCTACATCTCCCCCGCCGTCGAGGGCTACGAGGTGGGGTTCTCCATCCCGGGAGAGGATGTCCTGCACACGCCGGCCCAGAATTTCACTCCGCGCCGCTTGGAACTCGACTCCGCCAACATCCCCGGGGCGGACAACTTTACCGGTCGGTGTGAATGGAAGGTCTTCCGCTACGGGGAAGTCGTCGCCAGCGCCTACAATGACATCAATACCCTGACAGGCAAGCTCACCGGCGGGGAGATGGTGTCCACCCAGGACTTCCACCCCATCGTGCTGGAGGATGCCATCATCACGTATGGCTTCTACAACGCAGGGCGCGGGGAGGTCGGCCTGACGAAGCGGGACCAGTGCTACGTGACCATCTGCTCGTCGGGCAACCGCGCCTGGATGGGCGATCTGGCTCCGGTCGGATCCATGGAGGCGCAAAAGCCCTTTTCCCGCTTCGCCCTCGCGGCCCCGCACGACAACGGGATGAACAGCATGGACAGCTGCGACGCGGTGTTCCAGCATCTGGACGGGGACATGCTCGCAGCCGTGCGGGAGCTCGTGCCGATGCTCGCCCACATCCGGCACATCCCCGACGGGTTCCTTATGGAGAAGCTGCCGCACATCGTCTACGGCCTGGCCATCACTCAGAAGAAGGAGATCGCCGTGATGCTGAACATGGGCGCCCGATACTTCGAGTTCCGACCGGCCAAGCTCCTGCCCATCTTCCAGAAGATCTCCTCCCTCCCAGACACGTATTACTTCCAGCATGCGTGTATCCCGGGGCTGGCCTTCGACGCCTTCCTCCGCGCACAGGTGGCGTTCCTGGATGAGAACCCCACCGAGATCGTGACCGTCCATATCCGGTGGGACAACATCGTGGCCGAATGCGAGCGACCCACCGAGGAGCAGATCGGGGAGCTGCTGACCGAGGCGTGTGCCACGACCGCCGTGCAGCCGCTGACCTGGGGCGGCCGTGAGTGTTTCAGCCAGCCGATCGACGAGCTCCGGAGCACTGGCAAGCGACTGATTTGTGTGATCGAGGCGGACAAGTACGACAGCTGGACGGCGGAGGCGTACGCGACGTTGAGTGCGGACTCGATTCTCGCGCGGTTCGAGGGGATGACCACCGAGGGGCAGGAGAGCAGTGACCTGACGGTGCTGCAGTGCCAGGCCACCTCGCAGTCCATCAAGGAGGTGATGCTCTATAGCGTGGTGGAGGCGGGCGCGGTCTCGTCGTGTTTGACCTCGACCAAGGCCGCGTTGGATACGCGGACCCTCCCGTGGATTCGGGAGAACGCGCTGGAGCGACTGCAGGCGGAGCGGACGATTGTGATTATGAACGACTTCATCGATGGGGCGACGACGGACACGTCGATCTTGTTGTCAAAGCAGCGGCTGGCTTTGTAGGGACTGTACAATAGTACATAGCATGATAGAACTAGACTCTCAAGGCTGATGATGCCATCGGGTAGTTGTTTTGCTTGTTTACACCGGCACGGAAGAATGATATTGCGGAAGAAGGCACCCAAGGCGGTGAGGATCTGCCGGCTTCGTTTGCCTGGTCTCCAGGGAACAAAGAGAGGGAATAAGATAGCACAGCTGGCTGTCACTTCAATTACACAGGTCTCCTGGCATCATATCCTGGCTAAACTCTAAGCACTAGCAAAGACCATGTACTTCTGGGCTTCAGTGCTCACGCCGACAAATGTTTGCTCTCCAGCCTTGCACACCGGCTTGGATGAGCTACGAACCCAAGGACGAGACGATGTCACTCTCCTGACTTGGCACCATATGAGTTGAACGATCCGACAGGGGATTTCAACGCCATCACTTGGCCGAGGAGCGGTGAATTTAGTTCCCTTTGTTCGTAGAAATCTCGCACGAGCTTGGCCATCCATGCCTGCCTAAAGCTAAACAGTGTGTGTGCTGTATTTATATAGAAGCATAGAAGCGGCGTTGCTCAGCGGCTACACTACACCTGCAACCACGAGGCACAATTCCCGCCCTACAGACCGCTAGAACATCTTTGTGCATCATGTCTGATTCTCTAATGGAGCCCCCGAGCGAGCCAAACGACAGCGGGTACTCGAGCGCTCAGGCCTCGATCGAGTATCGCGAGTCTCTGCTTGCAGACGTGCGACGCGGGCATCTGGCGGAGCTGCGCGACTCCGTCTACAATCGATACTACGGCATCACGGATAGATTCTGGCCAGGGGAGTCCTTCCAGGAGCTGGAACCAGCCATTCGTGATCTCTGGTTCGCTTTCCATGTCTGGGCGCGTAACATCTCCCACGAGACGCCGGAACATGATCGGATAGTCTTGGACTTTACTCGGTTTCAGCTGTCCGGACCGTTACAGCGACTGGTAAAGGACAGTGACCACGAGTTCGAGATGGCTCAAAGCCCAACAGGAGCGGTCTTGTGGGGCGATGTGCCCTTCTTCCTTGAAGACACGACCGCGTACTTCATCCAGCACTGTCCCACGATGAAGGCCGACCATCGACTCAACTTCACCTACTTTGTGGCCAAAGTCGCATCCACCGGGGTGCTGCAAGATCGACTCATCGAGGTCGGTCTGTTGACCTTCCGCGAGGCGTTGGAGACCGACCGTCCACTGGGAAGTCTCGATCCCTCACCTGACTCCTCCAGGCCTGCTCAGACACTGTCCGACCTGCCCATCGCCGCTTTCCTCCCTGCCCTCCGCGCGTGGGTCTTCGAGTGTGGACGACGGATGATCGACCTATGTGATGTGTCGTGGAATGAGTGCGATTCATCGCTGGGCCGTGGCGGTCCCTTGTTTCTTCGGGCCACGGAGCTCAGTCGCGAGGCACCTGTTGGCCTTAGCGCAGGACGATGGCTGTTCTGGATCAAGCGCGTGGATCAGATCCACGAGCAGGCAACACAGGCCCAGGAGACGAAGCTCGCCGAGGAGGCCTGGGTCACCTTGGAGTTGATGCTCAACCCGCTCGAATATCGGGATAGTCCCGTTTCTCGAGCGTACAAGGCCGCACCCGACGACTTTATCCGGGTCAAGTGGCCCGAGTTCTGGGCTTCAGAGATGCCGGTTGAAGAGGGAGACATCGAGGCACGTGAGGATGAGCCTGAGAGGCCTCTGTTTGGAGAGGATTGATCATGAATAGCGGCAGTGTCATAGTGAAGTGCGAGTTTCTATTTCTTATCACTGCGTGTCGAGGAAATGTAGCGCAGCCTGCACCAATAGTCAATGTATAGCTATTATTACGTTCTACATGCTTTGAGCTCGACTACCATTACCTTCGGTGGAAGTTGACACCCTCGTTTCTTTAGACTAAGAGAAATAACAGAGATTTCCGACAGCAGATAATTAGTAGCAACAATCTGTGATTCCATCCCTCCCACTAACTGAGTGATTCGACGTCGCGACCCCGTACGGCTCCACAGGACACACATTTACTTCGCCCAGAGCCAGCCATACACAACCCACTAGTAGCAATTGCAATCCCTATTGTAGGAGTCGAAATTGCACTTGGCGCCGTTCTTACTGCACTACCAGGGTCTCAGTCAACAGATACTACCAAGCTTGGACAAGCTGGGCTCACCTTTCGGAATTGGCACTTGCAGATAGCAGTCCTTCCGCTTTGCGCAGTGTACCGGCATTGATTTTCACTCTTCCGGCATTGCTACGTCGGAGTCAATGAATCAGTCTTGGGCTTGTTCGCTCGCGACTAAGCTGTGGACTACTGACTCCATCGTATTTGACCTGAACGTTATTCTCACTTCTCACACCGACTGATTCGGCATGATTGAGCGGGGTAGCAGCCACACCCATGGCAGCGAGGATGATGAAGCTGATTGGGACGGGGGAGATCTTCATCCTGGGCGATAGTGTGGTCCGGGTAGTGTAAGATGGTAATAAGTGGTAATGTGTCTCGTTGCTGCACTTGTGCTGGATCTCAATGACACTACCATCATGGCTCTGCTTTATATTCATATCGGTCGGATATTCCTTCCAGCGACTGCCTTTGAATCAGCTAGAGAGCACCTGAATCAGGCCTCAGCAGCTGAGAGTCAGAATGATCACACGAGGGTTTAGCAGTCCTGTCCATGATGCTTTGTTGTCCTCAGCTCGACTTCAGGATGTTTGTCGAGGACAATCATGCTTCTTTGGGATTCTTGTCGTGCCGTTACATCGATGCATGGGCTTCTGTGGACCTCGTGATAACGCCGTTTGTCGAAGTTTGAGTTGAAGTTGACATGCATATACATCAGTTGTGTTAGCAATGCAGGATGCAGAGTAGGCAGACACGGCCTCTGTGGCTCTGTCCAAGCAAACAAATGGCAGATTTGTATTGTCTTTTGTAGGCTACTGGTTGAAAGAAGATGCATACTGGGTTCCATATTGCAAGAGGCTCTGTACAGAACCAAGCTCGTGACATGTACCTTATGCTGGTTGGACCCGTTTAAAATTTGAATGCGAACCAAGAAGTAAGCGCTCATTTAGTGATATACATTCGAGTTTAACAATGTGTGCGGTGGTTGGAATTGTGGGCGATGTCGGGAGCTGGTAACTAGATGCTCCTGAAAATATGTCGAGGAGAAGACGCACATCACCACTAACAATCCTGTCTGGATGAGGGAAGGGAGATTTGAGTGGTATTGTGCCCTTGATACCTACTTCTCAGGACCGCAAGAGCAATGGCATCGTCAAGACAAATATTAAGGCTTAGCAAGAATTGACTTTGCATGGTGAACTAACAACAGTCTTAGAAGTATGAGTTTGGAAGGTGCCGTGGGTGAATGATTATTATACGTGATCTTTGGCTTATGGTATGCAGTTTGAATCTCCATTACACAAGCACGTCTTGGTGGCGCAATTGGTTAGCGCGTACGACTGTTAATCGTGAGGTTGAGAGTTCGATCCTCTCCTAGGACGTCAATTATTTTTATGTTTGCTTGTCTGGGGCACACGCAGCTTCCTTCCTTTTCATCGTTCGCTTTTGTAAACAAAACTTGCCCATATCCAAGTAAATAACCCCCCAAACTCCATGATTCCCTCCCTAATTCCACATCTGCCGAACAGTTTGTTCGTCTGTCCCTGTTCAGTGTCATGACGATAGCTCTGGCCACCGGACGATGAGCCGGGCACGTGAGCCGGACTCAAATTTCCCTCATAGAGATGCTGTCACATGAGCGGAAGACGGTTCCTCCTGCCATTGGCTGTAGCATCTCCCCATGCTTTACAGGTAGGTGTACCTTAGCCTGGCAGGCGAACTTGTTTCATTCCAGCAGATTCGTTTCTCCTCCTCACACGACATTCTACCTCTCGCTCTTGATCTTTCTTCATCACCGCCAGAGTCATGGCTAGTCCTCTACTCACTCCCGAGCCACGCGCCCGGCAGGCTTGTGAACCTTGTCGGTAAGACTCCCGGCACTTCCTTTGATGACCTCATTCATAACCCACCCCCGGTAACGGTAGGAAGAAGAAAACCAAATGTCCCGGCGAAAGACCAATATGTTCCTTCTGTCGACGTTTGAATCAGAGATGCACGTACGGGCGGAGTAGGGACCCTCCCACCCGTTCGTCCGAGGTAAGCTCCTCCCTTGACACTATCTAACGGACTCTGATAGTCCCCATGCTACAGTCCAGACAAGAGACGCGGGAGCGGCTTCGACGGCTAGAATCGCGTCTGGAACGCATCGATGGATTCTTTCAGTACGTGACTGGCTCGAGTCATCTCCTGCCTGGATAAATTGACCATGTGGAAACAGGACCCTGACGGATCGTGCACCACAAGACGCCATGCCTTGCCCACAGGCTCAACCATTTCTGCACAGGATCTTGCAGAGTCGAACAGAAACTTTAGCGTCTGCCCCCGACCTTTCACAGTCCCAGTCTTTTGACCCATCACGATGGTACGTCTAACTGGTTCTCCTTGATGATTCAACTTTGAATCCTGAATCTCAAATCAATTATCGGAACAGCATGTATCCACCACCAGAAGCTCTAGCTCAGCTGGTGAACGTGTACACAGAGAAGGTACAGAGCCAACCACTTCCTCTCTTCGACAAAGAGAGACTCTCCGCTCAGATCCGACACTTCCCCGACTTCCTCCTGCAAGCCTTCTTGGCGCTCACCTTGCTCTTCGTGGAGCTGCCTTTCTACGGTGACGCCAAAGCGCAAGCCATCGAACTGTACCTCCGTTCCGCTCGTCCCACGGTCATTCAACTGGCTGCGGAAGGCACGCCATCGGTGCCGGTATTGCAGGCGTTGTGTCTTATAACCTTGAGCGATGTTGCTGGTGAGATCCTCTGGATTGCCTGAACTGACGAGCCATGCTGACTGCCTCAGCTGGCCGACACGCACGAGTCTGGATGGATGCTGGGATCGCGGCTAGATTGGTCCTTTGTGTGTCCCCCGCCGGCGCAGGGTCTGCTACGGAATATGCATCCACGCGGGATGATCAAACGCGATGTTGCTGGAGTGTGTTTATTCTTGAAAGGGTCTTCGCCCCCGGTCCGAGTCTCCTACATATTGACGACTACCCACTGGGGCGATTAGGGTATCCTGTCAGCCCACCACGGCCCCGCTCCCTCATGGCGAACGACGACGGCTCTGCGCCCAATGCCTTTGCCAGCAGTGCTGCAGACCTGGGAATACAGGCATACTGCCTCCAAGTGACTGGGCTGTGGTATGAAGTTCTGGGGTACCTGCGACAGCGCCTGGCTAACCCAACCGATGACCCCTGGATCGCCTCCTCCCGCCATCACACGCTGGTTGCGCAGTATTACGAGTTCGAGACGGGGATCTCGCAGCTGCACCGATATCGGAACGTCGGCTTCCACACCATCACCTCCAGCGAACTGCTGCAGTACAAGGAGTACTGGACGGCCTGGCTTTATTTGCAGGTGGCATTCCACGCTGGCCAAGCCCTCTTGCATCATCCTCTCTTCCACGTCACTCATGTGCGACGTGCATCGTCCAAGTTCCAACCGCCATCCTTCCTCCAACAAACCATAGACCAAGCTCTGCTTCACTCGGGCTGGCCAACGCGCTTGATCCGAACGTGGGAGAAGCATGGGATTGAGATCAATGACCCGTTTCTGTCTCAACTTGTGGCGACCGCTGCGTCTATCCACTGGATATTCCAATTTGCGAGTGAGAAAGCCATCGCCGACCGGGCACGAGCGGACTTCGAGCAGTGCCAACGCTTTCTGACAGATCTAGCGATCCGATGGCCACACATTGCTGGAATGGTAAGTTCTTTTTTTTTCTTTTTCTTTTTTCTTTTTCTTTCCTGTGGGATGGATCGAATCGAATTGAAATCTGGTCCAAGTCAACGACAGTGCTGACGAGGGCTGAATAGGTAGACAAGCTTGCGTATCTGCAAAGTCTGTCGGGACACAACACTGGCGCAAGTAGCATTCCTCCTTTCAAGTGGTCGGCGATGTGGGATTTGCTGGACCCGAACTCACCTCATAGCAGTGTGGAGGAGTCTCATCTAGCATTTGTGCCTGGTGGCCAGCAGATCGCCACGCAATACTTGGTGCCGTTGCGCGAGTCCCCACCGAACCGGTCCTCACTGGGAGGCGAGGATGAAGTGCTTGCTTCATCATCAGAGTGGATGAATAGCGATTTTTTCAGTCTGCTTGATGTACCATACTTCGGCCAGGGTCCATCGCAGCTGCCTCCCGACTGCCACGGGGAGTTGTAAGTATTCTTGAATTATTTTACGTACAGAATGGAGCCCCTCCGCATTCTTCCCACCCGGGCCGGTGTAGGAGTGGGGACGGATACCATTAATAACAATGCCGTGCCCACTCCTCCCGCCAAGCTTTCGATGTGGCCGACCTTCGGACCTGAAAAATTCTCCCCTTTCTGGCAACATGCCACGCCCCTTCAGGCTGTCTATATAATACACTGCCCTTCCTGGATGATCTTCGCCTTCAGAGACAAGCACAGTTGATCACTCTCCCATTCTGTCCGGAAAAATGGCTATTCCTCCTTCCAAATCGGCTGCGATTGTGATTGTCGGCGCAGGCGTCTTCGGTCTGTCCACGGCCCTGGAATTGACGCGTCGGGGTTACACCAACATCACCGTCTTGGACCGGCATCTGGCCCCCGTGCCCGATGGATCCAGTGTCGACGTCTCGCGCATCATCCGCGCCGACTATGCCGATGTCTTCTACGCCCGCATGGCGCTGGACGCCCTGCAGAACGGCTGGCACGGCGAGTACGCCCCGTACTTCTACCAGAGCGGCCTGATGTGCACGCAGACGCAAGGCTGCGGCGAGCACGAGTACATTGCCCAGTCGAAGCAGAACATGGAGCAGCTGGGCGGCAAGGCCGCCAATCTCCTGTCCTTCCAGGGCGCCGAGATCCGCCAGCAGTACCCCGGCATCCACGGCGATCTCTCGCAGGCCAGCGGCTATGTCAACATGGACTCCGGCTGGGCCAACGCCGAGCTCAGCATCGGCCACCTGGCGCGCAACTGCACGCGGGCCGGCGTCTCGTTCCGCGCCGGGCCCCAGGGCACCGTCACCGACTTCCTGACGCAGACCACCACCGCGACGACCGGCAAGAAGCGGGTGACCGGCGTGCGCACGGCCAGCGGCGAGAGCATCGCCGCCGACCTGGTCATGGTGTCGACGGGCGCCTGGACCCCGCATCTGCTGGAGATGACCGGCCGCTCCGTCTCGGTCGCCCAGCCCGTGGCCTTCCTGCAGCTCACGGCCGACGAGGCCCGCGAGCTCGACAATAACCGCTGCCCCGTGATCCTGGACCTGAGCACCGGCTGGTTCACCTTCCCCCCGACGCCGGGCACCCACCTGCTGAAGATCGCGCGCCACGGGTTCGGCTACGAGCGCACCAACGAGGCCAAGCCGCAGAACCCGAGCGCCTACTCGGCCCCGACGCTGGCCCGCCAGGGCGGCTACCTGCCCCCGGATGCCGAGAAGGCCCTGCGCGAGGGCCTGGAGCTGTGGCTGCCCCGGTTCAAGGACCGGCCCTTCGTCCAGCGCCGACTGTGCTGGTACAGCGACACCCCCAAGGGCGATTTCATCGTCGACTACCACCCCGACTATGAGGGTTTGTTCGTCGCGACGGGCGGAAGTGGCCAGTACGTATTACCCTACCCCAGCCCATGAATGCCCCCGGAAAACACAGAAGGTATAGTCACGGATGAGGAACTCAGCTGCTAATCACCACCATCACCAACAGTGCCTTCAAGTTCCTCCCCGTCCTGGGCCGCTACGTCGCCGACAGCCTGGAGCTGACTGCGTCGGCGGAGCAGCGCCAAAAATGGGCGTGGCCCGTGGCGCCTCAACCCATCGCCTCGGGAGACGGCAGTCGCGGTGGACCGCCTCGCCGTCGCTTGACGCCCGAGGAACGGGCGCGCTTGTAGATCCTGAATGGTGGACAGAAACGAATGACGAACGAGACAAACAAGACGGCCAGACATCGGGGAATGAATGGGTCTTTGCATGCAGCAACTAAAGCACCACCTTCCTAGCCAGCGTTGACATTTTCTAGACAAATAGACTTTTCTTTTCTCCAATGTTTTACACAGTCCTCCAGTACGAATACGAAACCAATTAATCGCGCAGCATGCGAGGCATACGATGCGGTTTAGGATCCGTGAGCGTCGCAGCCACCACGCTCTCCAGTAGACCGGACAAACCTTCTTTACGCGCTTGCTTTAACCAAGTACCTGCATCCACCGTCCGCAGGGGCGCACGGAAGCGTTCTTCCAGGAACTCCCGAAACCGAGCCACGGGTACCGGGGTGGTGCTGGCGTGATGGTGGATCGTTGGCGACTCATTCATCTCAGGGCGTTTGCGTCGGTCCTCCGGGCTCCGCAAAGCGGCCTGCGTGATCTCCATCGCCACGTCCGTGACGGACACAAAGTCGAAGAAGCCCGTCCAGTGGGGGAGGGCTGGGACCTGGAGTGTGCGCAAGGACCACTGGATGAGACCCTGCATGAAATCGGTGCCGTGCATGCCTTCGCCCACGATGTTGGTCGGCCGATGGATGGCGCAGGGGAGCTGGAACCGAGCCGCGCACTTCTCCAGATAGACCTCGCTCGCCCACTTCGAAGCCACGTAGCCGCTGTCTGCGCCATCCGCGGGAGGCAGGCTGTGCGCCACAGACTGAGGGGGTAGGGAGTCCATGTCGGTCAATTGGGCCACATCGGCCGTGGAGACGAAGTGGAGCGGAATTTGACGCCGTAGGGCCATGCAGGCGAGGTGGCGGGTGGACTGCACGTTGGCCGGGTGTAAGGATCGGTACGACTTCAAGAACGAGACGTCGGCGCCGTTGTGGATGATCAGGTCGACTCGCGAAGCCAGCTCCTGCCAACAGCCACGGTCGAGACCCAGTCTGGGTGCTGTGAGATCTCCCTTGTAGCGGACTACCTTGGCCGTGCCAGCAGCAGATGCGACCGACGGCAGCGTAAGGCGATGGATGCAATGAATGCGGGCCACGCGAGGGTCCGCCGCCAGGCATCGCAGGAGTGCAGAGCCGAGAAACCCAGTCGCGCCAGTCAGACACACCTCAATGCCTCCCTCTGCGTGGAGAGGACTGAGCTGGGGGCTCCTCCCGTCGCAGATGTACTTCTCTTCCAGCCCGGGTAGGGTTTCCTGCTCCCAATCAATGTTGGACTCGGGTGGCGGAGTTGACGCACCGGTCAGCAACGCGGCCATGTCTCCTATAGTGCTGGACTGGAAAAGCGTGGACAAAGGGATCGATCGCTTCATGTGTTGCTGTAGGAAAGCTTGCACCTTCACCATCAACAAGGAGTTTCCCCCAGCTTGGAAAAAGTCCGTCGTTGAACTCCAGACGGCTGTCTGGGCGGATTGAGCCAAGCACTGCTCCCAGATCCAGATGACGAAGCGTTCGGAATCCGAGATCGTGGGAGACATGGCATGTTGCCTCTTGGAGGGCAATGGTAGTTGGTCGACTGCCCGTCTATCTAGCTTGCCATTGGGGTTTCGTGGCAGGCCATCGACTGGGACGATGACTTGAGGTAGCATGTACGGCGGCAGTGGAAGGTTGGCAACGAGCTTGTCGAGGAACTGCAGCATCTCGTTCACGGCCGCGAGTTCCTGCGTGCAGACAGGGACGACAAACGCTGTCAGAAAGCGACGATCCCCTCCGGCGTCGTGCAAGCCGCGCACAGAGACCACGGCCTCTGCAAGCCGTCCTTCCGTAGACTTCAGAATCGTGTTGGCAATGTCGTCAAGTTCGATGCGGTAGCCGCGCAGCTTAACTTGGTGATCACCGTCGATGCGCCCGAGATACACAAGCTCCCCAGTAGGGAGCAGACGGCCTTTATCACCGGTTCGATACATGGTGCAACCACTACTCATGTTTGGGGAGTCCGCGAACGGATCCGGTCGGAATCTCTGTTTGGTCAGGGCATCTTTGTGTAGATATCCCCTGGCAACTCCCGGACCACTGACGACAATCTCCCCAGTGAACCCTACTGGCAGTGGCGCACCATCGAGGTCGATGATATAAGTCGAGTAGTTGGGCAGGGTCCAACCGACACTAATGGGTTGCAGATTGATGCAGGCAGGATCAAAAGTATCGATCGCAAGACATGAGCTCGAAATCGAGATCTCAGTCGGTCCATACCGATTGATCAGCCGCAGCCCAGGTCGCCGCAGGGCGTGGAATAACTCAATGAGATGTCGTGGCAAGGCTTCACCTCCCACAAAGGCAGTGCCCCAGGAAGTCAGCTGGTGCAGAGCATCCGATCCGTACCGCAACAGCACCATGTATTCCGATGGTGTGGCGTAAGTGTAGGTGACGTTCTCGACCAGCATCAGCCGAGACAGCGCAATAGCATCTCCACGTAGACGGCGCGGCGCAACAATCAATGTGCCGCCCCCCACCAGAGGCTGAAGCATCTGATCAAGAGAGACATCAAATCCATGTGAGCTTTGTTGGAGCGCAGTTTCACAATCGATCTGAAACCGATGGCGCACCCCCAGAATCTGATGCAGCAGATTGGCATGCGTGAGCAGGATTCCCTTGGGAGTTCCGGTGGATCCGCTAGTATAAAGAACACAAGCTGCAGATTCGCACTGGGACAAGTCCGGACACGCCTGGGTCTGGGCACGGCAGATCTCGGCGATGGAGACCGGAGTACTTGAATGGAGATTCAGTCGCCGGATGACCGATTCAGTTGGGTCGTGGTATATGATCGCTGCGGGTTGGCAGTCGTTCAAAATCAGTTGGAGTCGAGAGAAGGGATTCTGCGGATCGAGCGGTACATATATGGCATTGATACGCCATATCGCCAAGAGATGACAAACAGCATATATGGTCGGCTCGCAACATACGGCGACATAGCCCTGGGCTTGAACCCCATTTATGCGAAGAACAGCTGCTGCGCGTTGAATGTGCTGCTGCATCTGCTTATATGTGAAGCTGTTCCCGTCCGCATCCTTGACGGCAACCACTCCAGGCCTCGCGAGCGACATTTGCTCGATTCTCTTCGAAATTGTGGCCGAAACGGTGATATCCAGACGGGGCCCTTTCCCAAAAACCAGCCCGGCCATAACGTCGTTCTCGTCGTATAAACACTGCTGTGCGATTGGCATTTTCGGATTTCTTACACAGGACTCAAAGAGGCGCATGTAAGCTCGTAGGAGGAAATGTAGACTTTCGTGTGTGTACAAATATGTTGGGGAGCGAAGGGTGCTGCTGGCAGTTCCATCACGCTGCCGGGTCAGGTATAGAACGAGATCGCAGGGAGCTGCAGCATCACTCTCGATAGAACTCTCGAAGAGATTGCCAGCATGGTGATCTTGATAGATCAATTGCACCTGAAATAGAGGGTGTTCAGGAGTCGGGTGTGACTTTGAATAATGAGAGAGAAGATCGTTCATCCTCCCAGGCCCATACTTCAGGGTGTCCGGGGTAGTCTGACAGGCTCGGTGGATGACCTCAGTAATTGTGTCCTGAGGTTCGATGTTGAAGCAATGAGGAAGCGGTTGGGCTTCTTTGCGCCCTCCACGTTGAGGCTCTGCGACTCCGATGCAGCCCTCGCGGATGTCCAGGAGCCGTGCCAAAAGGGCTTGCAGTATCGCTAAGTGACCATGGAACTCGGTAGCACCCATCTGGCGCACCAGAGAACTGAAGGCAGCCACCGTTCCACTGGATAGGAAGATCTCAACTTCATGTGTGGCATACTCTGGTAGCAGCCGCCGCGTAGGGACTTGACTGAAATCAAATAGTGGCAAGGTACAGGGCCAATTGGCAGAAGTGGACTTCAGTGAATCATTCTCGCCGGTCATCTCGTATGTGGGTGTCTCTCGCTGTCGTCTTGCGATTGAGGTTGAGGGAATGAGCTGGAGTGGCATCCCAGAGATCATAAATTCACTCCAGCGAGGCGGGCTGTAGCCCTCTGAGTTTTTGTAAACAAGATCTCTTGCCTGATCTAGCAAGATACCGTGGAAAAGGCACTAGGAGACAGATGCTTTTGATTCAGAGTTTGGGTGGTGACGACGAAGGCGCATGTCGTCGGACTCGATCTCACGAACACCCATGGTTCTTCCCGTGTATTTTCAAGCAAGAGCCTCATATTCTTGAGATATCTGACACCCCGGGGATTTGGAGGGAGCTCGAAGGGGTGCGAATGCTGGGCCGTGCTTGAAAACCTGGGTACGTGACATTTCTTTTCGCCTGTCATGAGCCTTCTTGGCAACTCAATGCTCCAGAGACCCGGTGCTGAAACTGGGGTGTTTGTGTCTTGATCGTCACAGAAACATTCATGCTTTAAGCAGTTTCCTGTTGACGCCAGTTCTGGGGAGGAATGCAGTCTGAAAACCTGATTCTTTTCGGTCGGCAACACGATCTTTCTGCTGCAGTCGTTCAAGTTCTACAAAATCGAGAGTTCGGTCAACTGTTGACGCAAACGATCAGCCCATCGAACCACACAGCTGGGAATCCGCCGGGGAGAACTGGGGAGAACTGGTCGAGCTGGCCATCGAAAATATTTCTAGATGTGGCAGTAGGAGGTGGAGACGTGTGATTCATTCATGATGGACTGGATTTGCGGCTCGGAAGGAGTTCAGATCAGCTTCCAGGAAAGAGTGAAGAACCTCATCCCCCAGCTCGGTAATAGCAAGCAGAGCACCAATTCACTGCTGCTTCTCGGAACTATCTTCCTTCCCCCTTTTCTGTTTCAGTACTGTTAAAATAAGAATGGGCGATCATGCCAGGAACAGGTGCCAACATCGACAATGAATTCCAGGAAACGCCAGTCAGCCATCCCTTGCATGAGACTGCCACATTGGAGATGAATGGACGTGAAGAGTCTCAGGATAGCCGTCAAGGCCCAGGCAGGGGTTGTGCCACGATGATCTATACGATTACTGTACATTCCGGGGGGAGCTTTTTTCAGAGTAGATAGGTTTCAACGCCGGGGAAAGGGAACCCTAACTGGATGGGTGGGCAAAGTCATTGACTCTACATGTTCAAGCGAGTGTCAACTCACCAAGCTCAGGATGCAATATAGCTGACAACTGCACGCCCTGCGATCATCGAGATTGATTGGTTTATCGTGATGATCGGCCCCGTTGCGTCTCTTCTCGCAGAATCTGATACATCCGTATGCGCAAACCCGATGCAGTGCTGGGACAGCCGATCCTCGGCAGGAATCGACTTGGGCAAGGAGTTCTAGGTAGATTATACTTCCTGACAGATCACAGCATGACAGTCCTGTGCCGCAGCAGTGACCGCATCGGCGTGATCAATCCCTCCTGTTGAGCCATGGTGGCGGTACTTATCGCCAGATAATCATTGCATTGCGGAGCAATGGCTGTCGTAGCTTTGCGACTGCCTCGAAATGATATCAACTTGCAAGAAGCAGGTTTCGATCTAAGCGAGCTCACCACACCACAATGAGAAGTCGTTCATACCATGCCTGCCCATACTTTAAATGTCCAGCAGACCCCTGACACGCCTGGGGTCTACTGTACTACTTCGCGTCCTGTTGCTTGACTGTCGCTTCATCCTCCATATCTGACTCCACATCATGAAAAGTGCACTCGCGCAGGGAGAGAAAGGATACGACCATGATAACCTGCGGCATGTGGTGATCACAGCCAGTTGTTTCGCGCTGGTAATCTCAACTCTGGCTGTGGCTTTGCGTCTGTGGTGTCGGCGTATCACTCGCACCAAGGTCTTCTTGGATGACTACCTCATGATTGTTGCCTTGGTGAGTAACAAAGCACCAACTGCGGCCTTATCTCCCTAATGCTGATCAGAAACTATTGCCAGGTCTTCGAATATGGTATTACGGTCGCAGGGGTCGTTCGTATGTCGATAAGGTGGGATTTCCAGTTGGATTGCTTGCTGATGTGGAACTAGTTCTGTACAACGGTTTGGGAACCCACATCATCTACGTATCTCCCGAGCAGCTTGTGGTCTACATGAAGGTCATTCCCCTTGTTCTGATATGATCTGAACCAACGCCCTGACCCAAATGTCAATAGACCTTATCGACCGGCACATTCCTGTACACCTTGTGCATCACCTTCGTGAAACTCTCCATCCTCGCGCTCTACAAACGAATCTTCTCCATTCGTCCGATGATGCAGGCGTCGAATGTGGTTGCATGCATCGTGATTCTCTGGTGTTTTGGGGTTTGCCTCATTGGAGCAGTGACCTGCATGCCTTTCAAGAAGCTGTGGGAGCCCAATCTCCCGGGAGGCTGCATCAACTTGGCCCAATTCTACTACGGTCTTCAGATCCCCAACATCCTAACTGACGCAATCATTCTCGTGTTGCCGATGAAAGCCGTCTGGAATCTACAAGTCCCTCGATCACAGAAAGTCATGCTGTCGGGCATTTTCCTGATTGGTACCACGTACGTCATCGTCATCTTATATCTTCCTGCGCGGCACCAGAACTGACACCAGCAGAACCCTTGCCTTCGACATCGTGCGGCTCGTCGTGATGATCCAACTTTCGGAAGCAGGAGGCGATATCACCTGTAAGCTGACCACCCCTCTAATTAAATCTTGATACACCGATCCTCTACTAACCAGGTAACAGATGACCAAGTCACTGCAAGTGTCTGGACGTGTATCGAGCCCATGATGGGGATCACCGCCGCCTGCCTCTCCAACATGCGGCCCCTCTTCACCATGCTGCCTCGCCCCGAGTGGAGCAAGAATCTGTCCTGGCGCAAGAATGCCTTCTCCTTGCCCTCCTCTGACCGGTCAAAGACGAAGAGTATGGAGCAAAAGCCGAACATCCACTCCACCACGGTGATCCGCATCGACAGCTCCCGCTTGACCAACTCGAGCACTGCCAGCGAACGGGAGGAGGTTTGATGTTGCCCGGTTTTCAGCCATGAAGTGTCATGGTAATCTTTGTTGCACATCGAGATAACTCTTCTAAGCACGTCTCATATTCTCTTGGACAGTTTCGTAGCTAATTTCGGGGACAAATCATAATTTTCCTAATTAGTCATAAATTGGTCTGTCTGGAGAAGAGGGAAAGAGAGAAAGATAGACAAAGGTAAGTACATAAATGGGAGAAGGATCCACTAGGCTACAGCTGCCTAAGGATACATTATCAGGAGCATCCAAGTGTCGACAAAGACAGGTCGATTTAGGACGAGATTTTACTACTGAACTAATGGTAGGTTGATGGGTAGTTGAAAGGCCGCAGTGTTTTCTCTACGGTCATGCTGATACGCAACAACCCCATGAGGCACCAGACAAACCTGTAAGTGCTCCCATTCGAGATGTTATATAGCAGGTAAAATTGACAATTGGGATACACGTTGCCTTTAGGCGGTATCCGAAGGATAATACAAGACTAGCGCGTTCCTGTAGTTTTGATTGGCGTCCTCGTCCAGCAAGGCTTCAAGGAATTCTGGACCATGTCAGTCAGAACATGCCGCTCGACCGATACAACAAGGAATCATCTAATGGGAAGACTTACCGCCAAAGTCCAATTTGCCATCTGCGTTGGCATCGCAGACCTTGAGAAACTTCCTGGCATCCTCTTTATCGCCCTTGAATACATACTTGGCGATCTGGTTAAGGTCGAAATTGCCTACTCAGAAAGGTTAGCTGCAGTTGTGGCATGTGTGAAGAGCACTACGTGCCCGTCTTCTTCTCTTTCTGCTCGCATGAGATTCAGTGGTCAGTATTCGGGGCAATCTTAACGAGAATAATGCGGGAGAGCAAAGACATACGGAAGCATGAAAGAACTCGATCAGAGTCTGGAGAAAGCCCCAGGAGTAGTAGGCATCCTGCGTGATCGGTTAACTGCTGCTTTGTCAGAGGTGACGAAGGCCCAGTCATACCCATTTGACTTCTTCCTTGTCAGACATGGTGTGGATTCGAGAATTGAACGTTGAGATTTGGATTCGGATTGTAGGTCTGGTAGAACTTGGGAGTTGATGCTTTTGATGTGCTCTAAGCCCCGAGATGTGAGCCCTTCTTATAGACCTCACTTCGTGCGTTCAGGATAGTCCTAAGGCGCAACAACCAAGGCACTTATCCATGGTCTAGAATCGGAAATTCCATTTTGGGCGGTGATGTTGCATTGCGACTCGACGAGTTCAGCTCCGTCTCTTTGTCCCAGTCGCCGATCCTACCGCGCCCATAGTGTGCATCTAGTTGTTGACGCATTGACTCGACGTGCAGGGGAGCACGCTGTCTGTGATTCACCAGAGCTCCAAATGACCCCGCAGACTAGACCTTGCAGCTTAGCAGCTCATCTAGATTCAGGCATGGAGTATCTATCTATGTGACTCCCCTCAGTGGAATCAACAGTGCATGACAGACAAGCAAAAACACGATTGTTCTTTGAACCCCTCCTCAGGTTTGTTAATCATGGTTGTCTTTCTTCCATCGAGGCCATCGAGAAGGCTGCGAGGTTGTGAGATTTAGCGGATTTGAAATCGATGAGGGCTGAGGATAACCCGTGCATTAGTTACTACAGCGTACATAGTAGCATGTGATTTGGCGCTCCTCCGCCAATCAGCTAGCCTTAGTATTCGACCAAGTCAGGATCAGCTCTGCACATCAATTTGGATCCGACCGGGATATGCATGGTCCATCACAGAGTCCTGCAGTATGTCTTTCCCCGATTGCCGACGCGTCGATGGGAGAAGGGAGTAGGATTGCCCTCTTGAAGAGATATAACCTCAATAGCGGGGGGTGGATGTTTGCATTGTCTCAGTATGGCTGCATGAAGCCCGCTAGACAGCTCAGCAATCCGCATCTAGCACGTAATGGAATGGAATGAGTGGAAATGCAAGCAGTGTTGATGCAGATCTTGGAGGAGGGGGGGAGAAGGAAAGATTATCACGGCAGAACGAGAGAGAGATGAGGGGTACTATCATGGCGGTGGGCAAGGCGGTAGGCAAAGCGGGTGGTCACGGGTAGTCGCGGCCAGAGGAAGAAAGCACGTGATAGCATGAGCGGACCGATAATGAACGATGATAAGCGTAGGCTGGCTACCGCCTGCTCTAACGGGAAACTGCCGCGGCTGAGCGGGGAAGCTCCCTGTTGTTACGCTTTCGCTCCCAATTTCCACCTTCCACCTTCACCATCTGAATTCCTAAGGAAACACCCAGTGAAATACTACTTGCAAGTGACGAGTATACGGTTACTCTTCATAGGCTGCATACTGCCCTACTCTCTCAGCCACTGGTGGTTATCTTAGACTGGGCTCAACCTCCGCCTCCCCGCCTCCCCCTCGTTATCGGCGATAAGATCGCGTGGCTTCGGCCCATCGGCATTGTTCTCCATTCATCTCCAACTTGCCTCAATTTAAGGTCCTTCCATACCCCCTCCTTCCCCTCTCTCACTTCTTACTTCATTTCTTCTCTTCTCCAGCATTTTTACACCTCGCCATCATCAATTCTCACCATGACCAAATCCGATAGCGCAACCGTCACCTTGGCGGACTATCTCTTCACCCGACTACAGCAGCTCGGGGTCAAATCCATCTTCGGCGTCCCCGGCGACTACAACCTGCGCTTGCTGGACTATGTCGAACCCTCGGGGCTACACTGGGTGGGAACTTGCAATGAGCTCAACGCCGCCTATGCAGCCGACGGATACGCGCGTTTGGCCGGCTTGTCCGCCATGATCACCACTTTTGGCGTCGGAGAGTTGTCCGCTATCAATGGGATTGCCGGCGCATACGCAGAACGAGCGCCTGTAGTCCACATTGTGGGCACACCTCCTCGGCCATCTCAGGAGTCTCGCGCCCTGGTGCATCACACCTTTGCCGACGGCGAGTACCGCCGCTTTGCCGCCATGCACGCCCACGTCACTATTGCCCAGACCAATCTCAACGATCCTCGCACCGTGCCCGAGCAGATTGACACGGTGCTGCAGCAGGCTCTGATCCACAACCGTCCAGTTTACATCGAGATTCCGGACGACATGCCGGGTGTACTGGTGTCGGCCGCCAATCTGTCCACCAACATCCAGCGTCCGGCTGCCCCGACCACTGCGCAAGAGAGTACCATCCTCACCCGCATCGCCGACCGTATTTACACGGCCAAACAGCCTCTGATCCTCGTCGACGGCGAGAGTCGTGCCATTGGCATCCTGGATGAAATCAACACTCTCGTGCGCCAAACCTCCTGGCCAACCTTCACGACCGTCTCGGGCAAAGGCCTAGTGGACGAACACCAACCCAGCGTCTACGGCAACTACGCCGGCCGCCTGGGCGACCCCAATCACAAGACCTACTTCGACCAGGCGGACCTTATCCTCGAGTTCGGGCTGCACGCAACCGACACCAACACGTTAGGCTTCCAAACTCTCCCCAACCCCGCCACCTCCGTCACCTTCACCGACAAGGCCGTGCGCATTGGCGACGACACCTACCGCGACCTGTCGCCCGCCTTCGTCACGCGCCTAGTGCAGAGCCTCGACTTCGGTCGCATCTCGAAGCCCACCAACCCGCCCCAGAAGACCGTAATCCCCACCGAATCCCTCCCGCCGACCGGCCGCATCACCCAGAAACACTTCTACCGGCGCGTCAACTCCCTCCTCCGTCCAGGCGACGTCGTCCTCACGGAGACCGGCACCGCCAGCTACGGCGGCCGGGATTTCACCCTGCCGACGGGCACGCGACTGTTCGGCGCCATCACCTGGCTCTCGATCGGCTACATGCTACCCGCCACCCTGGGCGCGGCGCTGGCGCAACGCGAGTTGAACCCGAACACGCCCACGCGGGCCGTCCTCTTCATTGGCGACGGCAGTCTGCAGATGACCGTCCAGGAACTGAGCACGATCATCCGCGAGAAGCTGGACGTGGTGATCTTCCTGCTCAACAACGAGGGGTACACGATCGAGCGGGCGATCCACGGCCGGAAGCAGGCGTACAACGACGTGGCCCGGTGGCGGCACCACCTGGCGGCGGACTTCTTCGGGGCGGAGGACGGCCACGGCGCCCGGAACAGCTTCACCGCCAACAACTGGGAAGAGCTGGACGCGGTGCTGCAGCAGGATGCCATCCAGAATGGGAAAGGCTTGCGGTGGGTGGAGGTCTTCATGGAGAAGGAGGATGTGGAGGGTTTGTTGAGGGTGATTCTGGAGAAGCAGATTGCCGCGGAGAAGGCCTGATCTATCAACATACTACTGATTCTTATCGTTACCTCAAGATCTCTCAATTTCTGTAGAAGAAGGAATGTGGAGAAGATAAGCTAATAATACACGCTGCCACAGGCAGGAATGAATGTCTAGTTATGTTCAAAAGAATCAACCGGGCTTGGTACATCCGTCTTGGTTGGCAGTCTCCCTTAACTTCGTATCGAAAATAACTCGTCTGCGGCTAGCATTTGCACACACTATGAATATGATTAGCGTCCGCTTCTTATGGGGACAATGATAGTAGGGGGTGATGAACTTACCCTCCGCTGCACTTGCCCTTGGAGAAGAGACCACATTTGGGGCACTGGGACGCCGTCTTGCATGTGGTCGCCTTGGTGGTCGCGGCGGCGGTGGTAGTGGTGGTTTTGGTAGTGGTGGTGGTAGTTTTGCTGGAGGTAGTAGTAGTAGTAGTAGTTGTGGTGGTGGACAAAGTAGTGGAGGTGGTCGTGGTGGTCGTGGTGGTTGTAGTGGTAGTCGAAGGGGCGGAAGAAGTCGTGGAAGTAGTAGTGGAGGTGGTAGAAGAAGTCGTGGAAGAAGTAGCCGGGGTGGACGAAGTAGTCGAAGTCGAGGATGAGGTAGTCGGGGACGAGGTGTGCGATGACGAGGTGGTCGAAGTGGTGGTGACCGACGAACTGGGCGCAGCCTCGGTGGTGGTGGTGGAGTGCTTGGTGGTGACCGGTGTCTCGATTGTCTGGGTAGTCACCGGCTTGGAGGTCTCCGACCTCACCGTTGTTGAGGCATGCACGGTCTTTGAGCTCTCGCTCTCCGGGGTGTGCGTGGTCGCCTTGGAGGTCACGATATTGCTCGTGTGCGAGGCTGGGTGAGCGGTGCTCCATTAGCAAAGCAGTATGATTAGGGTTGTGAGGGACAGAACTCACCCGTCACGACAGCCGAGGATCCAGCATGGGTCGTAACCACCGCCGCACTGGACGAAGCAGAAACCGAAGCGGTAGGCGTGCAGGCAGCGACGCTGCTCTCAGCACCGCGCTTAGCAAACGCAATGGCACTGGGAGCCGAAAAGTCCAGCAGCTGCTTGGCATCCCAGGTCCACGAGGCAGCAGGATACTTGGCGTTGAAAGCATCCAGACCCTGTCCCAGGGCATTCTTCTGCCCGGACGCGTCGGTGGTGGGCGTCACCTGGCCCGAGATGGAGGCAAGCCGCGAAGAGACCGAGGTCGCCTGCGTCGAGAGGAACTCCTCCATCCAGCTCGAATAAGAGTCGGCCCAGCCCTTGCCGGGGATCGGATCGTTGCATCCGGTGGTGAGCTGGTCGATTCCCAGGAAGGCCTCGTAGATGCGCTTGTTGGTCGTCTTGAAGACCTCCGCGATCTTGTTGTCCCGGAGCAGCGAGATCACAGTGGCCATGGTGTTGATGATGGAGAGGGCGTTGTTGGCTTCCTCTTCGCTCGTCGAGCCCTTAGGACTTTGCATGCCGCTGAGGTTCTCGTCGAACATCTATAGTCGTCGTCAGCTTCCAAGCGGGGTAACATGCATTGCGATCGACTTACAGGTGCCTTCATGCTGTTCAGTTGGTTGTCCATGGCGACGAAGTCCAGATAGGTGTTACTGGGCAGCTGCAAGCAGCGCATTAGCAAGCGCTGCCTTCTTCCATGTAGCCTGTGAAGCACTCACCATGCCGTATAGCCGCTGGAGTCGGCTCTTGACTCCATTCGCCGTCGGGTGTTCCGTATCCTGGGTGAGGAAGAAAGTCTTGAAGCTGTTACAGAAGTTGTACTTCGCAATCATGGCCGAAAAGAAGCTATCGACGATCTTCAACTCGTCTAAGATTCTCAGTTAGCTTACGGCACGGTCGACAGCGTAGACCGACCCGCCCAGGGGCACTTACAAACATGGTCAACGTTGATGTACGAATCGGTGGGTGAGACCTTGGCCCCAAGAGAAATGTACTTCTGGCCTGTGCCCGCATTGGCCGAGTCCCAGTAAGCCGCAACAGTATCCGTAAGCACGGAACTATCGGTGATCACATCGTAGGTGACGGCCCCGGCCGGGCACTGGTCCAGCTTGGGGATATAGTATCCGAGGAATGCGCTTCCCTGCATCGACTCCAGAGTCGCGGGCCCGGGGTATTGCGGCTTGAAGATCTTCGTCCCCAGAGCGCACTTGCCGTTGTTGTAACTGTTGGTGGTGCGGCCTCGACGGGCGAGCTGGTGCAGCTCGTGCTCGTCACGCTTGCTGGTGGTAGTGGTAGAGTCATCCTCCCCGTCGTCGGCGTCGTCATCATCGGTGGTAGTGTTGTCGACGTTCAAGAAGTATGTCCATCCGCAAGTTGCTTGGGCCGATGAGGCCGAAGCTACGGCAGAGGAAGATGCCGCAGCACGAGCTTGGACGGGTATGGCGGACGCCGATGCCCAGGAGCTCAGGAGGAGCAGACTGAGAGCGATTGCTTTTGGTGGTGTCATCTTTGAGGGTTCCAAAAGAGTGTGGGTTAAAGAGTGTGGAGTAAAGAGTGTGGGTTAAAGAGCGTCGGGTGCTGTGGTGAGAGGGAAGATATCCTGGAGAGCAGTCTTCACGGACTTATATAGCCAGGGTTCATCTTCGTATTCCCCTCGATCAACAATATAGTCCCTTCTCATGTAGTAGGTAGAAAATCTAATCGACCCTGGTGCTTCTGCTTCTCATCCTATTATGCCAGCCGTGTGGTTTCATCCTTGGGGCCGACTTCAGACACTACGGCATTGCCACCGCAGGATCCATACCCGGCCCCCATCCTCTCCTTTGAGGCTCGGGGTCTCCTGCATAAGTCTTGCAGAACTCTTCATCATGCGTCTAATCAATGAGTCTGGTGCTTTTGTGATTGTTCGCAATTGGAATTTTCGCACAACATACCGGTACCGGAGTGACAAGTCTGGAAAGAAGTATATCCCAAACAAATAATCTTGGCTCGAGGTGAAGAGGACGAGAAAGAAGTGCTTCCTCTTGTCATCGCCAAGAGAACCCACTAATAACAGCCTGAGCTGGTGTGGTAGAAATCTAGATTGACGCTCTGGTCGGTCGACGCGCAGAACCCTAACTTGGCCGCAGGTACGGGGTGCAGAACAAAAGTCAGGGCCGGCAACACTTGAACACGAGGCTCAGTCTTCTTGTTCAACTGAGCATTTCTCTCATTCGTTCATAGCCTGCGGTCAAAAGCCTCTCAACCCGAAACGAGATGACGACCGTGCAGCTTGTCAGGCTCAATGGCCCCCACCACCCCCTGCGGCTCAAGATAGACGATGATCAGCACCGAAGATTGTGAGGAATCTGATTCATCGGAGAGAGAACCTCAGTAAGGTCAGTCATCGAAGATCTCTATTTTAATGCAAGGGTATCATGAGCTACCCTGCAGAAAAAAATAACCCTATGAGGGGCACCAAGCGTGGTGGACAGAAGGTGAACGGCCGTGTCGGGCTGATGGCCCCCACGAGGTGTTCGGCCTCCTCTTACTCCGACACGAGCGCCACTGACCCCAAGCTACTGTACCACCACCACTTTCCATATTTGATGGCCTTCGGTTATCACCATTAGTCGTCAGGCTTTCACACTCTGTCAAAGCTCTGATATTTTGAGACAAGTGTCAGTTGACTTAGAACATATTGACAGCAATACACGCCGTGATTTAACATCCGAGGGGACCTGCGCATCTACGTTCCTCATTCTCACACATCATTATGTCGGAAACGAGTCAAGCCAGCGTGCAATCTGCCGCGCCCGCGCAGCTGCCTGTTCCAGTGATACATATCCATCCGAATCCCCTTCAGCCAAGCTCACCAAGCAGCTCTGGACGGAGCGTGCACTGAAAGGCAGCTCTTCCTGCTCCGGCGACCACGCCCACGGAACCGACTCCACTTCACCTGTGTCGAAGCGATGCACGGAGATGGTCACAGGCTCCGCATAGGTGTTTGCACCCAGCACAATACCCGCCGGGGAGATGAGACGAACTGCACCTTGCTCGAAGGTCAAGGTCCATGTGAGCTGCGGGTCCCCAGGGAAGGGTTGGCCTCGACTGAAGTGGGCGACTAGACTAGCTTGGGCTGCCACGTGGGCTGATTCCGGCAAGTGTCCTATGGAGGTTAGTTAGACCCTGGGTGGGAATGAGTTCCATGTCTTGGAAAGCGCCACTTACCATGGAGGCTGACGAGATCAGGCACATCGGAGCGGATAGTCTCCACGATCGACCCTGTGGTGGGCTCGCGCAGACGAATGCTCGGGCGCTGGAGCTGGAATTGAATGTGGTCGGTCTCAGGGATCACATCCCCGACCACCGATTGCACAAAGTCGATGACTGTACGGTTGTTTACTTAGCATGGAGTGCTAATGAGTCTAATGGGTCAATCTTTTTTAGGGTACGTACCATGAGCGAAGCCGATGGTGATGGGGTTGCCGCCGACCGAGCGCTGGGCGAAATATGCCAATCCGGGCGGGAGAAATTCACGATCCAGGGTGCCTCCAAAAGCGCGTACCTCAGTATTCAGCAAGCGACCCAGTTCACCCGACTGGAGTAGGTCTCGGATCCGACGCACGGGGGGTGCAAAGCGACTTTGGAGCCCCACCGCGACTTGAGCACCACTGCGGCGGCGGGCGGCGAGAAGCTCATCGAGGTGGGTCGGATTGCTGGCAATGGGCCACTCAATGTAGGTCGATTTGCCCGCCTGAATCATGGGCAACGCGGTCTCATAGTGCCGATCGACTCGCGTGCTGCAAATGACGAGATCGATCGTGCGATCCGCCGCCAGATCGCCCGGGCTGCCATAAGGAGTGACGCTACTGGCATCCAAGTCGTATTCTGCGATGGCGGCTTCCGCGGCCGACCGGCTACTGTTACAAAGAGCGGCGATCTGGAACCGCGAAGACCGGCGCAGACCCGGCAAATGCGCATTGGCAGCCCAGGAGGTCGTGGCGGTGGACGAGAGACCGATGATCGCAGTACGAGTCGACATGATGCCAGCTAGTATACATCTGTCTGTTCTGTGACC